TGTCTGTTGAGCAAACGGAGGGTCTAGGCCGATGGTGGAGCCAGGGCTGAGCTCCCCCCTCCAGACCTGCCCTCTGACTCACCCCCTCCCCAGAGGCTGGTTTCTGGGAATGTGCTGGATGCTTGGCTTGCCTCTTGGCTGAATCCTCGGTGCTGACTATGTTCTTCCCCAGAAATCCCCATGTTTAGAAGCTGTGCTTCCAGGCCACAGGGCCAAGGATGAGCAATGCAGAGGTAAGGACCTCAGGTGCCATGGGGATGAGGTGGGGGCAGCAGCCTGAGACCCACCAGCAGCCTGCCTTCCTTCCAAAGTAGAGTTCGGTGCAGGATGCTGGGCACCCACAGGAACCTCAGGGAACTGGGGAGACAGCTCCTACCTCACAGGTTGTCATGAAAACCAACTAAGAAAACTATGTGGGTGCCTGGAGTCCAGGTGGCATCGAGCGGGTGCTAAGCAAATGTCATCTGGGGTGCAACGGGGTGAAATTCAAGACCCTGTCGTGAATACTGTCCCTCTGGACCTGAACCCCTTTCCTCCACCCAGGTCTCCTCCCATCCCTCCACCTGACCTCTGAGGGAGACCCTCCCACAGAACTGGCAATGCTGTCCCAGCCTCCCCGGGGTGAGGGCATCAGCAGTCCGGCAGTTGTAGACAGTCGTGGTATCCAGTGCTGGTGCAAGGTGGGGGGTCCGTGGCCAGGGCTGGCACCAAGCTCTTCTGGCATATGACTGGGGCATTGTCTGTGGCCGGGTGTGGCGTTGGTGCTGGTTCTTTGCCCTACCAGAGAATCTCCATAGTCTTCCAATGAACCTCTTCCTGTTTAAATCAGTTGGAGCTAGTTTCTGTTTCTTAGAACCAGAAACAGGGAAGTGTGATCCAACAAAGCTAAGGGGATTGTGGGTGTCACTGAAAATCTGGTGCGCAGAAGAAGACAGGGTTTGGTCTGTTCGGATCTGCTCTGTACAGCCCCAAGCACAGCAGGGAGGCCCAGCCCCCAACCTCACTCTGGAAGCTACTGCACTCCCGAAGGGAACATGACAAAGTAGAGGCTCCCTAGGGGACAAGGACCCGGCCAGCGTGGGGTCCAGAACGCATGGCAGGGCAGGGGAAAGGGACATGGAGCTTGGAGCTGAGTAGGCTGAGGGCTTTGGAAGAACAGCCATGGTTCTTGGGTGAAGGCTCCAAGAGCCACTCTGGAAGTTCAGTGGGAGAGCAGATTTATGTGCAAAATGATGTGGGAGTCCAGGCCTTGCTCACAGCTGGGACAGTTAGAAGACAGACAGAGTTGCCTTGGGAGGAGGTAAGCTCCTAGCACTGGAGATAAGCAAGACCTGCATCCTGACGCGACAAAGAAACCCAGGCTGGGCTTCCCTGGCTTGGCCGTGTGTGTGTGTGTGTGTGTGTGTGTGTGTGTGTGTGTATGTATGTGGGGGCGGGGTCCTCCAGGCCAGGTGAAGGGATAAGCCTGCAGCTGAACACACTAGTCTCTCCCAGAGGCCCTCCCTGCCCACCGTCCGCTCATTTTTAGTCCACAGTGTGCGGAGTGAGCTCTCAATCTACAGAAGCTAAAAAGTTTTTTAGCCCCCTGGTGGCCTGGCCCAAACCCAAAGGTGGGGGTTGGGGTGAGAGAAGAACATACCTGGACAACGAGGCAGAGGGGCAAATCTCAGTAACCAAGAATAACTGATAATGGCTCATAAAAAATACTTAAACAATTGCCCTAAGTACCCTGGACAACCTTTATTTTCCCATTGCTTAGATGATGATCAGAGGACATGGGGGAAGGGGGTGCTGACACCCTCCTATATATCTGTGGCAGTGTACAATCACTGCCTCAGGAAATTTGGCAGATCCTACAGAAGTTCCCTCCCCGCCCCCCGCCACACACACACACACACACACACACACACGTCTTCTGGCCCAGGATTCCATTTCCTGGAATTTATCCTTTGCCTGCCCTCACGTACGTGCAAAATGATGTGTGAGCTGTGTTGTTTGGTGGAAGCAAATGATGACAACAACCAACCCATCCACTAACTGGGGACCCATCAAGAGATGATGGTACTGCCTGGCTGGTGTGGCTCAGTTGGTTGGATGTAGTCTCGTGCCCTGAAAGGTTACTGGTTGAATTCCCAGTCAGGACACATGCCCAGGCTGCCATGATCCCTGGGAGGGGTTGTGCAGGAGGCAGACGATCAATGTTTCACTCTCACACCAATGTTTCTCTCTCATATCAACGTTTCTCTCTCTCTCCCTAAAAATCAATGTAAAAATCTTTTTAAAAAGAAAGATGATGGTATGTCCACATGATGGAAAACTTGGCAAGTGGCAAAGAGCATGAGGGAATTATTTAAAATGTGTTTGTTTTTTTAAAATTTATTTTTAGAGAGAGAAGAAGGGAGAAAGGGAGAAAGATAGAAACATTGATGAGGGAGAAACCTCAACATTGATCAGCTGCCTTCTGCACACCCCCTGCTGGGGATTGAGCCCACAACCTGGGCATGTGCCTTGACTGGGAAGAGAGCCAGTGACCTCTAGGTCCATGGGTCAATGTTCAACCACTGCGTCACACTGGGTGGATGAGGGTACTTTTTACGTATAGACATGCACCAGGATAAGATAAGTGAAACCATAAGTGCAACCAGTAAGCTACTATCCTATCTAATAAAATAGTAAGATGAAAATTGGTCCTAATGGAGGAATGACCCGTCACTATGACATGTACTGACCTCCGGGGGGCAGACACTCAATGCAGGAGCTGCCCCCTGGTGGACAGTGCGCTTCCACAGGGGGAGCTCCACTCAGCCACAGCCGGGCTGAGGGCTGCGAGCGTAGCAGCAGGTGGCGGGAGCCTCTCCTGCCTCCTTGGCAGCGCTAAGGATGTCTGACTGCAGCTTAAGTTATCAGTCAGACATCCCCCGAGGGCCCCTAAGCTGCCAGAGAGATGTCTGCCTGCCAGCTTAGGCTTGATCCATCGGGGAGCAGGCCTAAGTTAGCAGGTGGACATCCCCTGAAGGGTCCCAGACTGCTGGAGGGCATAGACTGGGATGAGGGATGCCCCCCCACCCAAGTGCACAAATTTTCATGCACCAGATCTCTAGTCCTATATAATAAAAGGCTAACATGAAATCAACTGAACAGAGGAACAACCAGTCCCTATGAAACACACTGACCGCCAGGGGGCAGCCGCTCAGCCAGAAGCTGGCAAGCCCAGCGGCGGTGGCAGACATCCCCTGAGGGCTCTCGGACTGTGAGAGGGTGCAGTCGGGCTGAGGAACTCTCCCTGAGTGCACAAATTTTATGCACCACGTCTCTAGTTTGTGTATAAAAAATATATATATATATGTCTACGGAGGCCTCTGTAGACAGTCTGTCTCCAGGAGGCACAGGGACCAGGAATAGTGGGTGCCACAGGAAAGGGAATTTGTATGGCTGGAAGAGAAGAGAAACTTGACTTCATTTTTCATTGTAAGCCATCAATATCTTGAATGTGGTGAAGTGTGCATGTAGAGTATAAGTAACAAAATAGGAAGAGAAAAACTGAATGTGACAGCAAACAGAACGGTGCCAGCCGTCAGCACCCCACCTCAGTGCCCCCTGGTATCTGTCTTCACAGGTGTCGGTGCTCCTCTTTGCAGGGGAGGGGATGGAACTGGCTCACTGACCTCCAGGAAGCTTCCAGCATCACTCAGCAAGGGAGTGGAGAGCTGGGTCTGGGACCCAAGTGTGCCCAGCACCAGTTACCCCTGTGCCAGCCTTAGGACTGTGATCTGTAAGTGTAGGAGGGAACAGCAAAGGGGGACAATTCCAGAAACTCAGCTCTGATCACAGTCTGGGAGCAGGGTCGTGCCCCAGGGAAAAGACTGCGGTCAAGGTCATGGACCACTGGGGAAGCCAAGCCTAGCCCGTCTTGGGCCAGCTCTGTGACCCCCAGCAGGTAATTTTCCCTTTGTCCCTGAGCGCCTCCTCCAGGTTCTCCTCACGTGGGGTGCAGGAGGTGCAAATGAGATGGTAAGTGAGAAAGCCCCCACCTCTGAAGGCGGCTCCCCAAAATAACCCAGGTCGCCAAAACCGGTTTGGCTCAGTGGATAGAGCGTCAGCCTGCGGACTGAAAGGTTCCCAGGTTCGATTCCGGTCAAGGACATGTACCTGGATTGTGGGCACATCCCCAGTAAGAGGTGTGCAAGAGGCAGCTGATTGATGATTCTCTCTCTTCGATGTTTCTCTGTCCCTCTCCTTTCCTCTCTGTAAAAAAAAATCAATAAAATATATTTAAAAAAATAATAATATCCCAGGTCTTTCAGGCTCACATGCCCCAGAGGCTTGGTCCCCAAACCTCTGGGCTTCCCTGGCTCTCGCAGCTTCCTTTTGGGTCCAGGAGGCTCTAACACAAACACGCACATTGTTTTCTAAATTCGCCCGGCTGCTCATTGACTGGCACCTATGCGGGACCTCCCACGCCCCAGCCTCGGGTGGCCAGGGCGGTCCTCTCCGCCCGCCACCGTCCCGCGTGCCCCCACCCAGGCCCCCACCTCCGCGCACACACTGGACCCCGCAGCCCCCGCGCGCCCTGGCCCGGCCCTCGGGCCACGCCCGCCGCCCACACGATCCGCGGCGCGGCCCCCGGGGCGCGGATCCCCGCGCCGGCCCGGAGGGGCACCCCTGGCCCCGCCGCGCCCGCCGGGCGTCAATGCCTCTCCGAGGCCCCGCCCCGCCCCGCCCCAGGCGGCCAATGAGCGCCGCAGCCCGAGCCAGCCCCGGCCGCTGATTGGCCTGCCTGCGCGCAGTGTCCCCCGCACGTGGGGCGGGGGCGGGGGTGAATGAAGTGGAAGCGGTTCCTCCGCCCCCGCGTGCACAGCCCCCCCTTGTCCCCCACGGCCCGGCGCGGCCCGCCCCCTGGGCGCCCAGTCCGGCTCCTGCCGCCCGCCCGCCGGCTGCGCGCTGCACCGGACCCTGGCGTCCCGCTCCCCACGGCCGGGACCCCGAGTCGCGGACCCGCGATGGCCAAGCGCAGCTCGCTGTCCATCCGCATCGTGGAAGGGAAGAACCTGCCCGCCAAGGACATGTGAGCGCGGAACCCCAACTTTCCGGGGAGGGGCGTTGCCCCTGGATGCCTGACCTTTCCGGGGTCTGCACGGCCCGCCCACCAGTAGAGCAGAGGAGAGGGTGTGGCGGCGGGAGGCTGGCGGGGAAATGGGGACAGTGAGAAGGTTTGCTGCGAGCAGTCTTCGGGGTGGCAGGGGGGGGCCGTGGGTTGGGGAGGGGGCGGGGTCCGTCAGAGATCTCCGTGAACCCGGGGCGAACGGCGGCTATAGAGGGGAAGGGGCTTTGACAGAACAGGCGCTGGACGTGGGGCGATATCCCAGGGGATATTGGTGGGCTACCAAGGTCTCGGGTGTGGCCGGAGGGGATGAAAGTGCCCCCCTTAGAAATGAGTTTTCCTTGGTAGTTCCTGAACACTGAGTACCTGGGAGTGTGCATCCGAAACACGGCTGGAGCCCAGGGGCTGTCCTGGGGCTCCCCGCTGTGCACTTGGGCTTGAAGGAGGCCAGGATCCTTGCAAGATGGAGTGGCTGCGAAGTAGCTGTTGCTTGCGCCCTATGCTTTCCGTGAGCCATCACTCCTAATCCTCACAAGCACCGCAAGGCAGTTCTCATCATAATATTTACAGACGAGGAAAGGAGGCTCAGAGGCAGGAAACGCTGCCTCCAAGTGCAGAGCAAGATCTTGGGTCTCGGGCCCCTAACAGGCGCGAACACCTAGGGCTTTCCCGGTCCCTGGCCGGATCTGAGGAGATTCCAGGAGCCCCTTGTCCTATCTTTCTCTGCAGGTTCCAGAGTTGAGCTGCCTCATTTGATCCCAGGCTCCTTTGTATGCAGCCTTGGGCTGCTTTCTGTCCCCAAAGCCTCAGAGACAGAAGCTGTGGAAAGCACAAAGAAATCTCTCAACTAGGAGCTGAGGGAAGCACAAAGCTCTGGGGTCCCCGGAGGAGGGGGCAGAGGAAAGGGAGCCCTGCCGGACACAGCATAGGGTCCAAAGTCTGCTGGGCTGGAGCCTCCCACACCAGGCTCTTCACCTGGTTCCTGGATGCAGCCAGGTGGCTAGATGGGGAGGGGCAGGAGGGCAGTACAGGAGGAAGGGGCCGGCATCTCTCTTACAGGGACAGTGGCCCGTCAGAGTTTCCCAGGACACTTAGCGCCAGGAGCAGTTCCAGTTCAAGGCCTCTTGGGCCTGATGAGGCCCCAGGCTCAGCAGTTGCCATGGCAATGGGTGAGGGAAGGTAGTGGGGGACCATCTCAAAGTGGGTTTCTGTTTGTCGGGGGAGCTGGGATTGTTGTTTCTGGGGTGAGAAGGCAGATGATCTCTGAGAAGGGTCTCCGCCTCCAGACCCAGCCACTGAGCACCCCCCACACACACACACTGGCACCAGTAACTAGGTCAGTTTGGCCTCCTCTGGCTGGTGGCAGCTGGGAGGAGCAGCTGGGAGGAGCGGCCCCTCTGTCTGTTGCCTCCCTCCCTATCCCCGAAGCGCTTGCCTCGTGCCTGGCTCCAGGCTCTCACCAGTGCGGGGAGCCAAGGTGCCCGGTTTCCTGCCCGGCCCTGCCTCTGACCAGCTGAGGGACTCCGGGCAAGGTGCCTTCATTCCCAGGGGTGGGGCCCCCAAACCCTGTCGGTTCTGCCTTTGAAATCTTTTTCCTTGCCTTCCCCTCCATCCTGCCCGACTCACCTCCTTCCCTCGGCCTTTCCTAGAGTGGCTGGTGGACCCAATTCCAACCTGCCAACTCGTTTTTAAATCCAGCTGCGACCCCTCTCCCAGCCGCTCACCTTTGGGCTGCTGCCCTTCCCCGCCCTGCTTCTGCATGTAGTGAGGACCTTCTGCTTTCAAGCACTCCCCTTCAGAGTCCTCCGGAAAACTCCTGTTCATCCTGCAGGACACCGCCCAGCTCTCTCGCCAGGGCTTTTCCTGGTGCCCCTGTGCAGGCTTCCTTGTCCCTGTCCCGCACCCTTTGGGACTTGGTGTCATCTGGAGTTAGGGCAGAGCCCTTGCTAGCAATTGCTCTTTCCTGGGTCGCATGTCACGTGACTGTGAGGCGAGGGATCATGACTCATTTGACCTGACGTTCTGGGTGGCCCAAGGGACACCTGGTCCACCGTGGAGGGCAATAAGAGGTGTCGAGGACCTTCTCATTAGCCCTATAATATGCTCAGTTTGAAGACGGGGAAACTGAGGCTCAGAATGCCAATTCCACATCGGTAGGTAGAGAAGCCAAGATTCAAGCCCACTCGGCTGCTGACAGGCTGAGTCCTGGCAGGATGAATGCTGTAAGCTTGCTGTGGGGCGCAGTGGGGAGAGCCCCCCCCCCAAATGCCATGCTCCAGGGTGGCAGGCGATTGGCAATCACAGGAAGCCCTCCCTGAATGCTGGAGGCAGGCGTGGTGGCGAGCCCACCTCACTGTGCCTCACCCGCCTCCAGCCTGTCTCCTGAGCAGCATCCCTCCCAGGGCTGACACCTCAGACAGAGCTGCTACCTGCCTCCCTGCCACCTTACGCATGGGTTTTTAGTTCCCATAAGGTTCCTCTCAGAGCCTGCCTGTTTCTGCCATGTCCCCTCCCGCTGTCTCCCATCTTGGGTACCCGGGTCAGACAGACAGGAGCTGAGTCTCCTGGTGACCGGTGACCCACTGGCTCCCACGCCCAGTGACCCTGGGGACAGGCCCGGGGCTATTTCAGGGTTTGCCGTGATCCTTCCTCTTCCACCGTCTGGAAACTGCCAAGGCCCTAAATATAGAGGCCCTGCAAGTAGCCAGGCTGAGCCGGAGCCGGCAAGTGGCTTGAGGAAGGAGAAGTAGAGGAGGGATCACCCAGGGGCCTCACCAGGGCAGCGGCTGCAGGGCAGGGCACAGGTCCCAACAGCTGGCCAGGGACCACGATTCGGTCCAGATCCTTACATCTGGCCTCAGACCCTTTGACCCAGGCACCTAGAGCATTGCTGTCCCTGCACATCGGGTCTGTTCCTGCCTCTGGGTCTCTGCCCACCTCCATGGTCCTGACTACGCAACATGAGCCCCATCCCTCACTGTGCGCTCACAGTTCATCCATTGAGCGAGAGCTGAGCAGAGGGTAGAGGTGCTGGGCTCACAGGGGTACACAACAGGTTCCCCATCCCCGGAACCCCCAGGGCAGGAGGCAGAAGCAGGGAGAGAGGGACCTTATGGAAGGCCTGGGGTCCTCTTGCCTTGATGTGGGTGGATGCAACCTGCGTGTTCCCACGGGGCTGGAGGAGTGGGCTCTTAAATGATAGAGGTTTTGGGTAGAGGAGCAGGGAGTTGAGGGTGGGGCTAACTTTGACTCAATACCTCCCATGGCCAGGCCTTCACCTGTGTCGGGAACCCGGGGCAACTCCCAGGGAGCTGGGGGGAAGCTGAGTCTTGACAGACATTTTCTGTTGGCGACTGAGAGCTTTTGGAGACGTTTGTGCCGAGTGGTTTCCTCAAAAGAAGAGCCTCTTTGGAGAAGGGAAGCAGGGCTTGGAATTCCCCAACCTCCAAGCGGAAAATACACTTCCTTCCTTTTTTAAAAAAAAATATATTTTATTGATTTTTTACAGAGTGGAAGGGAGAGAGGAGAGAGATAGGAACATCGATCAGCCGCCTCCTGCACACCCTCTTTTGGGGATGTGCCCACAACCAAGGTACATGCCCTTGATCGGAATCGAACTTGGGACCCTTCAGTCTGCAAGCTGACACTCTATGCGCTGAGCCAAACCAGTTTCGAGTTTCTTTTCCTCTTTTCCTTTTTAAAAAATTATTATTATTTTTTTAATCCTCATCTGAGGGTTTGTTTTTATTGATTTTAGAGAGAGAGGAAGGGAGAGGGGGAGAGAAGAAACATTGATGTGAGAGAGAAGTATCAATCAGCTGCCTCACATACTGGCCCTGACCAGGGGATCTAACCCACAGCCTGGGTTATGTGCTCTAGCTGGGAACTGAACCAATGACCCTTCCGTGCACAGGACGGCACTCTAATCAACTGAGTCACACCAGCCAGGGCTACACTTCCGTTTCATGGATGCCAGGCCTGAAAGGCATTTCTGGAGACATCTTCACCCCCTTCTTGCCCAGTACCAGCCCAGATTCAACCCCATGAATCCCCACCAATGAGTCAGGTGGGACTGGGCAGCCCACGTTTGCCCTCCTGGCCCTTTGTTCCCAGATGGCTGGGAACTTGAGGACAGATGGTTCTATTCGTTCGTTCATTCCGCAAACACTCACAGCTCTGTCTATGGCAAGCCTCCTCCTGGGCGCTGGGGACACAGAATGGTCCCTAATCTCAGGCCACTTAGTTAGGCGGGGGAAGCAACTGCTGGGACATCACTAGCTTCCTGGGATGGAGGGAAACCTACTGAGGAGGGGCGGGCAGTAGGGTCACAGGGGAGACCTCACTCCCTGCCCCTGGGACAGAGAGGGCTCTTAGAGGAGGGGCTGAGGCTGGGAGGATGGGAGGGCAGGCAGGCAGGGGAGCAAGAGCAAAGGCTCATCGGAGAGACAGACAACAGGGCTGCCTGTGGTGTTGAGGGGAGGGGTGTTAGGGAGCTGCCTGGGGCTGTTGTGACTTGTGACTGTGGAACCAATGACCCTTACCCTTCAGTGCACAGGACGGCACTGGCCTGGTGCTTCTGTCTTCCCTGAGGTGGCGCAGGGTGGGGCCGAGAGCCCTGGTGCAGGTTCCTGCCTTCCCCAACCACGCCCATCCCAGACTGAGGCTGAGGACACAGGTTTTGGCCCCAGCCCAGCACCCAGGGCCTCAGCCTTGACTGTCTTTTTCGGGGTCACTGAGGGCCCCTGGCAGAGGGCTGGGAGCTGCCTGAGAGGCCCCGCCCTTGACGCCACCTGCAGCATCACCTGCCAGCCCCTCCACTCGCCTGTTTGTCTTGCAGCAACGGCAGCAGTGACCCCTACTGCATCGTGAAGGTGGACAATGAGCCCATCATCAGGTACCGCCCCAGCCCCAGCCCCAGTCCCAGCTCCAGCCCCAGCCCATTTCAGCACATGTACCTCCGAGGGGTGTGGACTTGTGTGGAGGTGGGCCCCACCACACCCTGACACACCCGCTAGGAGGTGGGAAAGATCCTCTCCTCTTGCTAATTACACCTTAACACCAGCATCTGCCAGAGGCCCCCTCTCACGGATTGTTCTGTAGCCTTTACAGCTCCCAGGAGTGACATGAAGATGATTTGTAACAACATTGTCACTTATGGGAGTGCTGTCTCCGCCATACTAACCGAGTTTAGCCCATTTAATACTTACGATGAGCTACATATGATATCATTAGACCCCATTTATGGATTAAAAAACTGAGGCTCTGAGAGACTAAGTGACTTGCCTAAAATTTCATACTTAGTGATAAAGCCAAGTCTGGCTCGCCCCAAAGCCTGAGCTCCTTGTCCCCTCCCTGGCCCTTGCTCTGACTTGGGGACCCCTTCCCCCTAGAGAGCCCCACAGTGGTTGTGCCTCTCCAGGCTGAGGGTCCCCAGTCTGCACCCAAAAGGCCCAGTCCCCCTGGACCTCCACGATTCGGGGCAGGGCCTTGGCTGTCCAGTCCCCTCCCGCACCCCAGCCTCTGCCTCCAGCCTCATGGCCAGAGCTGCTCCGCGATTCTGCCCAGCTGAGTGCCTGTGGCTGATGGCTGGCCAAGGTGCCTGACTTGTGAGTCTGGGTTCACCCCCCAGCAAGCAGGGCCCATCTTTTCTCCAGACTCTCTCCCAACTGCAGACAGCAAGCGGAGAGAGGGCGTGATGACTCTGATGGACTCAGTGACAGACAGGGAGGCGAGGTCCCCGAGTCAGGACCCTCTCTGAGAAGTGGTTGGATGAAGGTGGCCTCCTGAGCCTTAATCTGGGTCCTTGCGGCTTCGGCTTCCCCCATGCAATGCCTGCTGAGTCCCACAGGTTGAAGGCTCTGATGTGGGGAAGGCGGTTGGCCAGAGCTGGGTGAGGCCCTGGGACCTTGGCTCCCAGGCCCCCCAGGAGGACAGTCTGGCTCCAGAGCCAGCTTGGCCATCACCCTGCCTCCAGCCAGCAAGTCCGCTCAGCATCAGGAGCTAGGGGGTCCTGCTGTGTGATCTGTGTTCTCGGTTTCCCCAAGCGTCACACTCCACCCAGGCAGAGAGGGAGACCGGGAGTGAGGGGCTGATGGTGGACAGGGGGTCTGGGATGTCATCACACAGCAGGGCAGAGGTTTGGGGAGCGGAAGGGGCTGTGGGGAAAGGTAGGCTCCAGTCACACACCCCACCTTGCGTCATCCGGGGGCCCGCAGGTGCGGGGCAGGTCTGAGGGTCCTCTCCTTCAGGACAGCCACCGTGTGGAAAACCCTGTGCCCCTTCTGGGGTGAGGAGTATCAGGTGCACCTGCCGCCCACCTTCCATGCGGTGGCCTTCTATGTCATGGACGAGGATGCCCTCAGGTAAGGGGGGCCTCGCTCTTCAGCGGGGCCTGGACCTCACCTCCAGCCCCTCCCTGGCCCGTCTCACTGCGGGGACTGCTGGTCACTCTGCATCCTCTTCATAGCCTGGAGGGCGGGGGAGCCCAGAGGGGCTGGAAGGGTGTGAGGTGTGTGCTGCATGGATTCACCGTGCTTGCACCATGTCATACGTGTGCACGTGTGGGAACACAGGCACAGGTGCGCTGGGTGAGTGAGGGTCGGGATGTGAGGTAGGAAATGGCACCCAGGGAGCATCTTGGCATATATGTGGGCACACGGGTTGGTTCATGTGCAGAAAGGTCATGGGTCCCACTCAGAGAGGCCCCTGAAGTGACCAGTGTCAACCTCCCTGCTCCTCACAGGGGCCCTAAGCTGGGTGGGAGGGGGGTCCTGGGCTCTCCGCAGAGCACTGTCCAGCTCTGCTCCCTCTCCCTCCTCCAGCCGGGATGACGTTATCGGGAAGGTCTGCCTCACCAAGGACGCCCTGGCTGCCCACCCGAAAGGTAAGATCCCAGGAGGGAGCCCACTCCTGCTCCCCTCCTCTGGCCTTCCTCCTCTCTCCTCACTGGTCTCCCCAGTCCCAGCCTTCACCCTGCTCAGAGACCCTCCTTGCTCCAGGCTCCTTCAGGCCCGTGCTCAGGGAAAGCCACTTCTACCCTCCCCAGAAGGGCCGTACACCCACCTCTGTGCCCTGGGCCCCGTGCCGCCTTCAGGTGGGACCGCATCCCCCAGAGCAAAAGGGGCCCTGAGACCTCTGCCCCCAGTGCAAGGGGCCCCTCAAGCTCCACTGCTGAGCTGCAGGGGCCCACCCAGCCAGCTGGCTCCTCTGCCCCGGCCGAGGTCCTCTCAGCCCGCCCTGGCCTCTCTGCCTAAGTCTGAGCCGTTGGCCTCGGGCTGGGCTGGGCTGGAGACCCCTGGATGGTTCCTAGGATGCGGACACTGCTTTGGGGGCCAGCCCTGCCGCAGCCTCGCTGGGTGCCCCGCGGCAGGTGTTGCTTCTCTGGGCTGAGCCCCCATCTGCCCACGAGGGTTCAGACCGGAAGCTCTTAGATGCTCCTGCTCCGCCAGCCTGAGCCCCCCCACGAACTCTCAGGGGCCTCCCAGGCTCACACCTGCTCCTGTCTGTGTGGCCGGGGCCGGCCGGGGAGGTGGGGGGACCTGCTGACTCATGGAGCCTCTCGGCCCCTGCCAGGCCAGAGGCCTCTCCTGCCGGAGGCCCCAGCCAGCCCCGCGGGGTTCAGGCCCTAATGATGTGATTCTCTTGTCGATTCCCCTTCTGGGCCCGCCTGCCAGCATCCCTAGGCCAGAGCCATTCTCCCCTGTTTTAAGATGGGGAAACTGCCGGAACTGGTTTTGCTCAGTGGATAGAGCACTGGTCTGGGTCCCAGGTTTGATTCCGGTCAAGGGCACGTGCATTGGTTGTGGGCACATCCCCAGTAAGGGGTGTGCAGGAAGCAGCTGATCGATGTTTCTAGCTCTCTATACCTCTCCCTCCCTCTCTCTAAAAAAAAAAACACCAATAATATATATTTTTTTTAAAAAAGATGGGGAAACTGAGGCCAGAGGGCAGTGCCAGGATGACTTTGGGCCAGGGCCACCCTGACACAATAGTGAGGATACAGGGGTCACAAGCCTGAGCCTCAGTTTCCCCATCTATCGCTGGGGACCCCAGCGCCTGCCTCACGGGAGCTGGAGAAGATTCTGAGAGGATTGAGGAGGGGCCAGGCGGTGCCTGGCGGGGGAAGGGTGGGGGGAAAAGAGCCAGGCCCCGGCTCACCTGCAGCCTCACAGGTTTCAGTGGATGGGCCCACCTGACGGAGGTCGACCCTGACGAGGAGGTGCAGGGCGAGATCCACCTGCGGCTGGAGCTGGTGCCGGGGGCCCGCGCCGGCCGGCTGCGCTGCTCCGTGCTGGAGGCCAGGTGAGAGGTGGCGGTGGGGAGCGGGGCGTGGGCCCCAAGAAACTAGAGAAACCCACTGTGGGTGCTGGGCCTCTGCTCCCCCATCCGCCTCCCGCCCCGGCCCCCTCCCGTCAAAGTCTGCCCTCAGGCTGACGGGAGAGGTTCCCGGGGTGACCCCACTCAGAGGGTATGACTCTCAGGGGAAGAGGTGATGTTCTAATGGTGGGACTTCAGGCATCATAGGCCATCTGGGGGTGGGGGGACCCTGAACCATGATCATACAGCCCCAGTGCCAAGACTGGCCTTGCCCTGGATTGAACACTGATATGCACTTAACCTGCTATGTGGTGATGGGAGGGTGCTAGGTGTGGTGGGTGGCGTGTGTGTATGTGTGTGTGTGTGTGTGTGTGTGAGAGAGAGAGAGAGAGAGAGAGAGAGATATTGCTGAAAATCTCCAGGGGAAGCGGGGGATTGTCCTCGGAGGGACGGTGACTGGGGGAGGGGGGGCTGAGTCACCTGTGACAGGGAACCCCCTACCCTGCGTATTTTTAGCTGCAGCCTGAGTGTGAGTCACACTCCGTGGGAATCGCCTTCCTTTCTGGCTCCAGCCCACCTCCACCGGGTCCCTGCCTGCCTCTGGGTGGAGGGCAGCACACACACACACACACACACACACACACACTCACTCTGCGGAGCGGTGGCCTCTCTGGGAGAAAGGTCTCTCTCCTGAGAATGAGAGCTGTGGCTTCTTCCCTGGCTTTCTTTTCTGGGCTGGAATGTGGAAGAGGCTCAGCCAGACGGAAAGTGATGGTGATGGACAGGCACAGTCCCGCCCCTCATGCTCAGTCATTCTCTCACAAGACACCCACTTCCTTCTTCCTCAGCCTCACGGGCACCAGGCTCTCTGTGGCACAAGTGTGCGTACACACACACACACACACACACACGCACACACTCTCACACGCTGCCTCGGCGGCTGGGGACACGGTGGCTGGGCCAGCCTGGCTCCTCTTAGCAAGTCCCCCTGTGGGGGAGCGGTCTGTCGGGTCTCTCCTTAGAGTGTGGGGACTAGTCCCCCTTGTCCGTGGCTCAGGCCCTGCTGGCGTTTGGAGACAGCACAAGCAGCTGCCTTTGCCGGAGAGGCAGAAAGAGCATCTTCTCCTCCTCTTTCTGGGAAGATTCTCAAGACCAACCTCTGGAATGCCAGTAGATGATTCTGATGTGGAAAGAAAAGCAGGCCTCAAACTTCAACTCTGAGAAGAGCAGGAAATAGTATTTGCAGCAAAAGGAAGGGGGTGGGCTTTGTTTTCCCACAAGTCGCCATGCAGCGTGCCAGGGCCGGGTTTGGGCTTTGGAAGGGACCATCTGTGGAGAGAGGACAGTCGGTTGAGCTGCTTACCAAGACTCCTTCACGTGGGGGGTGTCAGGACAAGCCTTCTAAAAGCTCAGTTCCCCAGTCACGGGGTTTGTCCTCGTCTTTTTACTGATGGGGAATCGGCAGCTCGGTAGCTCGGAGAGGCAGAGCCTGCTCAGGGCTGCCCGGGGAACAGGGGCGCAGGGACCACCGCCCGGCTGCCTCACTGCACCCCCTCCTCCTCCTTCGCCCCAGGAGGTGCAGCTGCCTGGTCAGGAGCTGTGGCTCCAACCTGGAGCGTCCTGTGCCTGGTGTGGGGGCCCCTGTGATGATCGCTGTGAGAATTAGGGTCCAGAAAAGGGAGGGATGCTGTTCACAGTCACCCAGTGGCCAGGGGCGGGGTGCGCTCAGGCCTCCCCAGCCTGGTGCGGTTACCCCCGAGCTGGGACAGCTGAGTGACCGGGGACACTTCACTCTCCCTTCCCCAGGGACCTGGCCCCCAAGGACCGGAATGGCGCGTCTGACCCCTTTGTCCGTGTGCGCTACAATGGCCGGACACAGGAGACCTCGGTGAGGGGGCCTGGGGCTGGGGAGGGGGCAGGGAGGCTGAGGGCCCCACCCATGCCCCTCTCGGCCTCACCACCTCCTCGCCCTCACCTGGGCGGCGAGGCTGGGCTGCCCTCTGACAGAGGAGGTTCGGAAAAGCAGGGTGACCTCTCTGCGGACACAGAGCAGGCCCGGCCCTTCTGGCACCAACCCCTGTGGCCTCCGCCGCGATTCACTCCTGGCCAGGCCGGACCCAGACAAGCAGCAAAGCCAACAGCTGCCCCAGTGCCCTCCTCACCTCCGCAACGCCAGGGGGTGGGCTCAGCCCTGGGGGGAGGGCGTGAAGACCTGGCTCTTCCCGCAATCTAGTGCTCCTTAGTTGAGTGGCCTTGGGCGAGTGCCTGATTCCGGGCCTCCGTTTCCCCATTTGAGGAATGGGTGGGGACTTGGGCAGGAAGTGTTTACCTCTGCTATGGCAGGGCCTCCGCCCAGCCCCTGCTGGGAAGGGGTCCCTGCAGGGAACCCAGGGGAGCTGATGGGGTGGGTCTGCCCTGGGCTGGGTGTGGGAAGCCCACGGAGCCAGCCCCCTGCTTTCCGAGCAGGTTGTGAAGAAATCGTGCTACCCACGCTGGAACGAGACATTCGAGTTCGAGCTGGAGGAGGGGGCGCCAGAGGCGCTGTGCGTGGAGGCCTGGGACTGGGACCTGGTCAGCCGCAATGACTTCCTGGGCAAGGTGAGCACCCTGCCCCTCCAGGCTGCACCTGCCACCTTCTGCACCTGCCACCCATCCCTCCAGCCTCCCCAGAGAGGGCACTCAGGAGACCCGGGGCTCCCCAGAACCAGCAACTACCTGTCTCCAACTATCTCCCGTGCTCAGGGACCCTCTGAAAGTACAGAATAGTGTGGCCCCACCCTGTCTCTGCCCCGCCCCCAGGTGGTGGTCAACGTCCAGAGCCTGCGGGCGGCCCAGCAGGAGGAGGGCTGGTTCCAGCTGCAGCCCGACCTGTCCAAGCGACTGTCCTCTCTCCACAGGGAAGCGTGAGTTTCTGGAACTTGGTGGCTGGGGTGGTGGGCTCCGGGCCTGGGGGAGGATGAGCATGGGCTCTGACAGGCAGGCAGGCGGGCGGGCCGGTCAGAGGTGGGTGATGCAGCCACAGGCTTCTTCCAGCTGGTGCCCACCCAATCCCTCCCTCAGTCCTGCACTCCGCTCAGTCCTCTGAGCTCCGAGGCAGCACAGGCCTCCTGCTTTCTGCCATCCGAAAGTTTTAGGAACAAGCCTTCAGACCCTTTCCCTTTGAGAGTTTCTCTGCAGACCTCAGACTAGAGTTCAAGTCCTCAGAACCAGAGCTCTGACTTGCCCCCAGATTCTCTGGGCACAAGGCTGCCAGATAAAATACAAGATGTCCAGTTAGAACCAAACTTCAGATAAGCGGTGAATAATTTCTTAGGATAAGTATGGCCATGAAATATTTGAAATAAGCTTAAAACTAAACTTTAAGATTTAACTGAGTGCCTTGTACTTTTATTTTGCTAAATCTGGCAGCCCTGCCCACCCCTCAGCCCAGAAACGGGAGCTCAGCAGTGCCCCCACCTTGGATGGTTCAGCCTTGTCTCTCTGTTGAAGCCCCCAGACCCCCATCCTTACCCTCAACAGGGCGGCTGTCCCCAGCACCCAGGCACCTTTGTCTCCCGGCGCCTGCAGCTGTGGCTGCATCACTGTGGGCCGCGCTGTGCTGCGGGCAGTGGGGCCTCAGAGACTTAAGCTCTGCTTGTGCCCCCAGGGGGAGGGGAGCTTGGGACCTAGATCTCATGGGGCAGGTTGCTGGCCTGCTGGAGCCCCAGGGCCCTTAGCAGGCTGGGATGCAGGTTGGGGACTTGCTTCCGGTGTAAAGTGTATATACGAAGCAACTGTTCCCCAGGAGTTTACAACAGGGAGCCCAACAAGTCCTGAGGGTCAAGCCAGAGTCCACAGGAGTCTAGAGGGGACAGGGAGCCAGGCCTTGAGGACAGATGGAGTTCCCATGAATATAGAGGCAGGAAGGGCTTTCCAAACGGAGCAAACCACTTCGGCAAAGAATGGGAGGTGGGGCAGGGCAAGGAACAAAGGTAGAGGGGTCCATGGAGAGACTGGAGGCTGGCCCCAAGCAGGGAAGATGGAGGCATTGGGGAGGGGGCACGGCCCAGGGTCCCTGGTGGAGAGGTCACACGCTGCCCATTCCAGGGGCAACCTGGGCTCCTTGCAGCTGGAGGTGCGGCTGCGGGACGAGACGGTGCTGCCCTCTAGCTGCTACCAGCCCCTGGTGCAGCTGCTGTGCCGAGAGGTGACGCTGGGCACCCAGGTGAGGGGGGCCCCCAGGGAAGGAAGGAGGGTCCAGGGATGGTAGGCCTGGCCCTCCTGTCCATCTAACCCCCCTCTGAGGAGCCAGAACCAGTTCTCAGGATGGTAGGGAACCAGCTGGTGTCCAGGGGCCCTTGCCATCTCCTGAGAAAACTCCCTCACCCTCCCTGTGGCCCTGTGAGGGCCTCAGAGGGAAGGGTTTGGGTTGCCTGTGCACCTGCAGCCCCGCCTCTCCTTGCTGCCTCCCGCAGGGCCCAGCACAGCTGATCCCGCTCATCGAGGAGATGACCAGCACCGAGTGCCGCCAGGAAGTAGCCACCAACCTGCTCAAGCTCTTCCTGGGGCAGGGCCTCGCCAAAGGCTTTCTGGACCTGCTCTTCCAGCTGGAGCTGAGCCGCACCAGTGAGGCCCGGGAGGGAGCGTCCTGTCTGAGGCTGTGGTGGAGGGTGGAGCAGGGAGCCAAGGACTCTGGCGATGCTGGGATGGGAGAAATCTAGGTCCTCCTGTAGGAGGTAGATGTATTCGAGTAGGGGGAAAGGGTCAGGTTCGGAAGCAAGGGGAAAAGCAGAAGGCAGCGGTGAGGCGATGGGTTGAAACACAGGCAAGGAGGCTCTTTCCTGAAGGGCCCTCTGAGAACACCCGGGGTCCTCTCCCAGCCCTCCACCCACTGGAATTTCTAATTGTAGCTGAGGCCAACACCCTGTTCCGGAGCAACTCTCTGGCCACCAAGTCCATGGAGTCTTTTCTGAAGGTGAGGCTGCATGGTATCTTGCTTTTGTTCTGTAGACGAGGAGACGAAGGTTCAGAGAGGCCAAGAGACATAGCTTAAATTCAAGGCTTCTGTTAGTTGTTCCTTCATTGATTCATTCATTCATTGATTCACTCCATTCATTCATTCATTCATTCATCCATTCATGTAGCAACAGTTTGAGCTGCATTCCTTATGTGCCTGGCCAGTCCTGAGTGGAGACAGCAGGCAGATGGTGCATAGGGTGTCTGGGAGGCGAGGCGGGGTGATAACCAGGAGACAGGACTAATGCTGCTCTTGGTGGCCCCCAGGTGGCAGGGATGCGGTATCTGCACAGCATCCTGGGCCCCATCATCGACAGGGTATTTGAGGAGAAGAAGTACGTGGAGCTGGACCCCAGTAAAGTGGAGGTCAAGGATGTAGGGTGAGATGGGGGACGGGGAATCCTTGGGTCGCGGGGGACAAGGGGTTGGAGATGGGGGTCAGCTATGTCTGCAAGTATATGTTCATGACTCTTTTTGCCTGGATCTACCTTTTCTCTACCTGCTCACCCGTGTGTTGTCTCTGGGTCCCTAACTCAGTTGATGGCCTTTTTGCACCTGTATCTCTGGGAGTCCCTGCCTGTTATGTGTGCAGATGCTGACCGTCCGCATTGGGCCCACGCAGGTGCTCGGGGCTGCACCGCCCACAGACTGAGGCTGAGGTGCTACAGCAGAGCGCACAGACGCTGCGCGCCCACCTGGGGGCGCTGCTGAGCGCGCTCTGTCGCTCCGTCCAAGCCTGCCCCGCCGTGGTCCGCGCCACCTTCCGCCAGCTCTTCCTGCGTGTGCGGGAGCGATTCCCCAGCGCCCAGCACGAGGTGCGCCCCCTGCAGGCAGGGCTGGGAGAGAGAAGAAAGCGGTAGGGACCTGGGAGCAGTGGGACCCCAAGGCCCATCCGAGGCGGTGGTGGAGTTAGTAGCCAAGGGCAGGAAGAGGGGCAGGGTTCTGGGGAAAGACAGAGAAGGGAAAGGGGCTATGAGGAGCTCAGGCTGGGGGAGTCCAGCCCACGGCCCTTCCGCACCCCTCCAGAACGTGCCATTCATCGCTGTCACCAGCTTCCTGTGCCTGCGCTTCGTCTCTCCCGCCATCATGGCACCCAAGCTCTTCCACCTGCGGGAGCGGCACGCAGACGCCCGCACCAGCCGCACGCTGCTGCTGCTGGCCAAGGTGAGGCTGCAGGCGGATGCCCAGCTGGTGCTGCACAGGGGTCCTCGCCTCCACTGCACTTGTTCCCACCTGGCTCCAGGGAGTCCTTGTGACCAGGCTACTGAGACTCTCACGTGGCACTGCCCAGTTTACAAAGCTTTTCCACGGTCACCCAATCTCACGGATAAGGAAACAGGCCTGTGAGGGACTTATGTGTATCCACATGTGGTGTGCCACCCTCCACCACCTCCCTCCCACCTCCTCAAGGAAAAAAACCTGTTAAGTAGGGACCACTATGTCCAATTACAGCCTGACAGGCCCAGGATTCACCTGGTGGTGGTGAATCCTGGGCCTGTCAGCCCCATGTCCGCTTACTCCCAGGCTGTGTGTCCAGCACTGGGCGGGGGCTGGCATACCCCGTGGGGCAGAGTCTGATATAAGTAAGACCTGCAGAGGAAGGGCAATAGGTTGGGCCTAGGTAGCATCAACTATCAGGCCCTAAATGTCTCAGACTTAGTGATCTGTTTACCCTTGGTCCCCGTGGGGTAGGAGTGGGCCTGTGAGCAGAGCCTATGCTGACTCTGCCTCGTTTCTATTGTGGGAGTAGCACAGACTGGGGGGGGGGGGGTGGGGGTGTCGGTTTGGGCCCCTGAAGCTGCTGTGACCTCCAGGCCATCCAGAATGTGGGCAACATGGACACGCCGGCGTCCAGGGCCAAGGAGGCTTGGATGGAGCCGCTGCAGCCCACTGTGCGCCAGGGCGTGGCCCAGCTGAAGGACTTCATCGCCAAGCTGGTGGACATCGAGGAGAAGGAAGGTGAGGCCCCACCCACTGGACCCTGTTTGCATTTGACCTGCCACCACCCCTGTGGCCCCGTCTACCTCTGGGCCTCTGGCTGCGCCCACAGCTGCTACTCACGTTTGCTCTGCCCCTGCCTGTGCTTCTGGAAGCTCCACCCGCAGCCTGCTGTGTTGCTAGGGACCCCACTGAGCTCACTTTTTGCCCTACGTCCCCTGCCTGGCAGAACTGGACCTGCAGAGGGCGCTAAGTTTGCAGATGCCGCCGGTGAAGGAGGGGCCGCTCTTCATCCACAGGACCAAGGGCAAGGGCCCCCTCATGTCCTCCTCTTTCAAGAAGCTCCACTTCTCCCTCACCACGGAGGCCCTCAGCTTTGCCAAGACACCCAGCTCCAAGGTGGGTGAGGAGAGAGGCAGGCAGGTGGGGCTCTGAGAGGTATCACCCTGGAGGCACCTGCTCCTTCCTCAGAGCCTGTCCCAGGGTCCACTAGGATCAGAGAAGAAAGCCAGGCAGGACTAGCCTTCTGATGGTAGCTGCAAAATCAGTTAAGACCTGTGAGAGCCTTGGCCGGTTTAGCTCAGTGGATAGAGTGTCGGCCTGTAAGACGCAAGGGTCCTGGGTTCGATACCAGACCGGGGCATGTTCCTTGGTTACAGGCACATCCCTAGTTGGGAGTGTGCAGGAGGCAACTGACCAATGTTTCTCTCTCATCGATGTTTCTGGCTCTCTATCCCTCTTCTTTCCTTTCTGTAAAAAATAAATAAAATATTAAAAAAAAAAAAAAAAAAAAAAGGCCTGTGAGAAGAACCCAGCCAGTGTGGCATCAACCCATGAACCAAGAGGTTGCTGGTTTGATTCCCAGTCAGGGCACAGGCCCTGGTTGTGGGCTTGATCCCCAGTAGGGGGCATGCAGGAGGCAGCTGATCAATGGCGAAGATGTTACTATCTCTCTATCCTTCTCCCTTTCCCTCTCTCTAAAATCAATAAAAGCATATTTTGGGGGGTGGGGTGGAGAGACCCATGAGAAAGAAGCTCCTCAGTGAAGGGGGAAGGGGACAGGTAGCTGATATGGTATCCAGTTCTGGCTTCTAGGTCAGGTGCATCCGTGGGGTAGGAGGCTGAGAGGAGCATCAGTGGGAGAGCAGGGAAGCAGAGAGGGGCTGAGGGGAGTCCTGGGTTTCAGCCCTGTGTACCTAGGGGAAGTGTCTCAGCCTCTTGGGGCCTTGGTGTCTTGGTTGTAATTGGAGATAGTGGTCCCTACTTAACAGGTTTTTAAGGATCAGCTGAGATAATCTTTGTCCAGGTGCAGAGCCAGGATCTGGCTCAGAGCAGGGTCTAGACCAGTGGAATTGCTAAGGACACCGTGACCCTGGGCTGGCCTCCTTTGCGCACTTTTCTCCCAAGAAGGGCTTAGTGTACACTTTCTGGGTGGCCCTGTTGACCGCTGCTGGGCCAAACTGAGCCCCACTCAGCCAGGCTCGGGATGGCCAGCCAGGGGTGCCCTCCCCAGCCCTGAGCAGCCAGGGAACACTGAGGGGGAGAAGGAGCTCCCTGGGTGGCCCCTCAGCTTGGGCCTCCCACTTTCCAGCTTTTTTTTTTTTTTTTTTTCTCTCTGGGCAACTGCCCAGCCCTGGCTCCCCTCAACATTTTCTGTAGCCTCAGCAAAGCCTGGCTCCCTGGCAGGGCCCTCCTCATCCTGCCCTGGGCCCCTTTCTGTTCCCTGGAGCTGCCTTTTGTGGCGAATCCTGTGTGTCCCCTGTGCCGGGCCGCCCTCCACCACCGCCCTCCTGCCTCCTCTGCAGCAGGCCGGGCACCACATCCTCTGGGCTGTCCCTTCTGTCCTTTTGGTGGCCCCAACCGGAGACGGCTCTGACATGTGACCCCAGGGCCCCCCACCACAGTTTCCCACTCCTCCAAAGGATGGCACTGCCTCCCTCTGTTTGTCATGGAAGCCAGTGGGGTGGGGGTGGGGGGCTTAGACGCCAGGATGGAAGTGTGGGCATTACCCCAAGGCCCATGGGAACTGGTCATTTGGGTGGTGTGGGGCCTGGTGATTTCTGATGGGAGGGTGTCCAGAGGCAAGGAGAGCAGGGTCTGGGCCTAGTGGCAGAGACTCAGCTTGAGCAGACTGGAGCTGTCTCAGGGAGTGGACATTCTGCATCCAGAGCTTTTCTCTGTCCTATTTGTATCTCATTCGATTCTGTGATGGCGGGAGGGATGTTAGGAGGTGGAATGTGACTCTTAGAGCTTGGGAAACTAAAGGTGAGCTGGGAAATTAATGACTGCAAAGGCACATGGCCTGGTCCATGGCAGGCATTACCTTCCAGCCCCGGGGAATGCTGGGTGTCTAGAAACGTTTCCAAAATTCACACCTCCCGGGACGGCAGGGAGCCTCCGAGAGGCTGGGCACTTGGGCCCCATCTGTCTGCGTTCTGTCCTGGCTGAGGTCACTCACAGAGCAGGCTCCTGGAGAGATGGGCCCACGCCAATGCCTGGTGCTGCAGAAGGGGAAACTGAGGCCCCAGGATAGGAACTGGAATGGCCTCAACCAAGACCCTGAGCCTCCCTTCCTCTCCCCCTCCCAGAAAAGTGCCCTGATCAAGCTGGCCAACCTCCGGGCGGCAGAAAAGGTGGAGGAGAAGAGCTTTGGCAGCTCACACGTCATGCAGGTCATCTACACGGACGACACAGGCAGGCCTCAGACCGCCTACCTGCAATGCAAGGTGTGGCCACGGGGTGGGGCGCCCTGGGGGAAGGGTGCTGTGGGTGCCCTGGGTGGGCTGGAATGAATGAGTCTCCCAGCCACATCGGGCACAGCAAGGTATGTGAGAGGTGATGTGAGTGCCGTGTGTGCCTCTTCGTGGACCTGTCTGGGCACCCCCCTGTAGGCCCGGCTGCACATGGCACACATCTGTGGGAAACTGTGCTTCCAAGAGTCTGAGTTGGTTGGTGCCTCTGTGTTTCTGTGTTCGTGCATATCGACCCATAACCATCATGTTTATGCATGTGTGTGGCTCTGGGTGCATGCTCTCACATCTCCTTCTCCGTCCATGTGTTTTCTTTTCTGTTCGTGGATTAACTCATTCATTCATTCATTCATTCGTTCATTTTAAAAATACTTACTGAGTACCTGCTAGGTTCCAGGCACTGTTCCAGGTGGTGGGCACAGGGCAGCAGACAAAACAGGGCCCTTGCCCTAATGGACCTTATATTCCAGGGAAGAAGATGGGCTGATAAATAATAAATACTTACAATGGCAAACAGTGCCTTGAAGGGAACCAATGGAGACTAAGATAGGGAAGGGTCAAGTGGGATGCCGCAGGGAGGGGTGCTAGTCAGGAGGGCCTCTGATTGGCATTGGGGAAGGGACGGGTGAAGGATGAAGTGTTAGGGGAAGAATACATGGAGGAAGGACACAGCGGGAAGCTGGAGGGGCCTGGCTTTCCCAGGGAGTGACAATCCTGCAGGTGTTAGGTGGTCACAGACCTGTCTCACAGGGCCCTGCCCACTACGGGCTCCCCGGTGGGTCAGAGTGCAGAGCCACAGGGAAAACGTGGTGACAACAGGGCCACCGCATATGGTTGGAAAGTTGTGGACTGACTACCCAAGTGCATGGCCATGGGGCCGTGGCACCTGAAAAACAGCCCATGCTTGGGTGTGGCTGGGCCCACGGGGAGAGGGCAGTCTTTCCTCAGCACTCGAAGCTGCGGAGTGTGCTGGCGGGGAATGTGTCGTCCTGCGTGGCACAGGAGCTGCAGCGCGGAGGGCTTCCTGGAGGGGGCGGCCTCTGATCAGCCCCATTCCCCCACCTCTGGCCCCCGCAGTGTGTGAATGAGCTGAACCAGTGGCTGTCTGCCCTGCGGAAGGTGAGCATCAACAACACCGGCCTGCTGGGCTCCTACCACCCAGGCGTCTTCCGCGGGGACAAGTGGAGCTGCTGCCACCAGAAGGACAGGACAGGTGGGAGTGAGGCCTGGGCCCTGCCGGGTGCATCTGTCCACGGCGGGCAGCCTGGCGCTGGAGCTGGCGGTGGGGACCTGGGCCCTGGGCACCAGAGGGGTGGCACGGAGGAGCTTCTACTAGAATGGTCTGTGATGACGGAAACGGTGTGTATCTGAGCCTCAAGCACAAGCGGCTGTTGAGCACTTGAACTGTGTTTAGTGAAGCCAACGAACTGAATTTTAAGTACTTTTAAATTTTATTTTAAAAAAATATATATTTTATTGATTTTTTTTTTTTACAGAGAGGAAGAGAGAGGGATAGAGAGTTAGAAACATCGATGAGAGAGAGACATCAATCAGCTGCCTCTTGCACGCCCCCCCACTAGGGATGTGCCCGCAACCAAGGTATATGCCCTTGACCAGAATCGAATCTGGGACCTTTCAGTCCGCAGGCCGATGCTCTATCCACTGAGTCAAACTGGTTTTGGCTATTTAATTTTAATTAAATTCAAACAGCTTTACTTTAGTGTGGCTAGAGGCCATTGCAGCCTGACCCACCAGCCCTGGATCTGAGGTTGAACAGGAGGTGGAAACTGGCAGCTCTTTGCAAGGGTGTCTCTTGCTGGTTGGCCTTGCCTGCAGCCTCTGACTATATCCATCCCCGTGAGAACCCTGGTCATTGGGAAGTGGGGCTCCCCAGGACACTGTGAGGCAGAGCCCGAAAGCCCCATTTAATGGAGGAGGAAACCGAGGTGCAGCTAGGGTAGGTGCCTCTACCAAGGTCGGCAGCTCATTTGAAGGCACGAACCCCTGCTGGTTCCCTCACCATGACATTACCTCCAGGTGCTCTCTGCTTGCTTCCAGGCAGGCGCTTCTAGAAAGTGGTCCAGCTCCCTAAGTGGTGTCCTGGGCCACTCCCACGCTCTGCAGTCAGGCACCCCGTGGCTCAGGAGCGAACCCGAGAGAGGAGCTACCGCCCTGGGAGTGTGGAGAGCCACGGGGAGGCCTGGGCCAGACTTTCCAGACTGTGCTCCCAGCCCGGCCTGCACGGGGCCCCCTGGGTCCATCCCTTTCCCTCCCTAGGCCTAGTTCTCCCATCTGGACCTCCAGGAAGTTGGACAGGAGCACTCGCAATGCCCGCCTGAAACTGCCTTCTCCCCGCCCCCAGGTCTGGGCTGTGATAAGACCCGGTCACGGGTGACCCTGCAGGAATGGAATGACCCTCTGGACCATGACCTGGAGGCCCAACTCATCTACCGGCACCTGCTGGGCATGGAGGCTGCACTGCGGTGAGGCAGCCTGTGCAGGGGCAGTGAGCCCCAAATGGGAGAGCTTGTGCCAGCCCGAAACGTGGCAGGGAGGGGGCAGAGCTGGTCACCTCCCTTCTAATCAAGCCAGCACCTTTTGGCTTTGGCAGCCACACCTGGGGAGGGGCCCCCACAACCTGAGGCCAGCTCACCTTAGGGTGAGGGCCCCCAGGGCAGGCTGACCAGACTCCCCACCTGTCCAGCCTTCTCGTGGTACCCTCCGAGCACAGCATTGCCCTCCGCCAGCTCCCCACGTTCCGTGGCCATCTCGGTTCATTCAGTGGTTCTCCACCCTGGCTACGGTGTCGGAAAAACAGGATGCTTTTCAGAAACAACTTGAAAAACAGGATGCCCTGGCCCTGCCCCGTGACGCAGACTCTCTGGGGGTCCAGCGTGGGGCCGTTTTAAAGGGGCGCAGTGCTTCCTGGTATCACTGCTTCCCCAGGCAGGCGTGTCCCCCACACCCCTACACGTGGAGGGGGTGGCTGTCCGTTCCTCATCTGCTCTTCCAGGATTTACCTCTTCAACATCCTTCAAAGCCCACGCTGTCAGACTAGACCCCCTCACCTCCCTGTGAGCTGCAGGTCACTCCTTTCTGGCCCGGCTTTCTCTCCACCATTCTGGACCCCTTGCTCCCCAACTTCATCCCCCAGCGAAGGACGCAGCCACCACCCTCTCACTCTGATCCCGAGCTCACACTCCAGAGACCTAACTCTTTCACCTGAACCCTCACTCCTGTGACTACCCCCTACCGCCTCTCCTGCCTCCTCCTCCTCCTCATCATCACATCATCGTCATCTAGGCTCCACTTGGATTTCACTTTATGTCTAAACACATGCAGTATTCACAACCACTGGACCAAGCAGGCACTCTTATTATTATGCCCATTTAAGCCAGGAAGCAGTGGAGCTAAGATTTGAACCCAAGACGCCTTGGGTTCAGGTGGGTCCCACCATAGGACCAGCGCCTATGGGTCTAACCACCACCCTCTGCCTTAGGGGCCTCCCCACCGCCGGGACCACTCAGCCACCCCTCCCCTCATTCCAACTCACCTTCTCTGGTGTCCTTCCGCCCACCAGGACCTCCGACCCACCGACCCAACCACCTGCCGTATTAGTCTCCTGTGGCTGCTGTAACAAATTACTACACTCTTGGTGGCTTAAAATAACTCAGATTTAGCTTCTTACAGTTCTAGAGATCATAAGTCAGAACTCAGTCTCGATGGCTAACAGCCAAAGGGCCTCTGGCCCCTTCCTCCATCATCAAAGTGCATCCTTCCAGACTCTGCTTCTATCCACACATAGCCACCGCCCTCCTCTGACCTTCTTCCTCCCTCTGAGTACAGTGGGCCCACTCTCCTCACTTTCCCCAGCCCCACACCCAGCCCTTCCGCCAGCCCAGCCCCTTGTCTTTACTGGCAGAATAAGGCCTGACCGGCCGCTTCTTGCGTCCATGCTGTGGCTCTCCCTGTCCGAGCTTCGCACATCTTCCATCCTAGGGAGGACATAGGAGCCTCCTACTTGGCCATTCTGCCTTTGCTCCTGCCTGGCTAGGATCTCTTCTCCACACGGCCCCCAGAGTGATCTTCTCAAACATAAAACAGGTCACACCACTCCCCCGCTTCACACCCCCACTGGCTTTCTACATCCTTACAATCCAGGCTTTGTCCTGGCTGCAGTGCTCAGGTGCCCTGGCTGACCTGCTTCTAAGCCTCATCCACCATCAGGCCCTCTGATGCTGTCCTTGCCATCTTGCTGGCTCTAGGCCTCTCCACCATAGGACCTTTGCATGTGCTATGTCTTTGCCTGAAGGCTCTTCCCCAACTAATTCACATGGCTTATTCCCTCACCTGATTGGGGCCTCTGGTCAAATGCCATCTGTCAGAGATGACTTCCCTGACCACCGTTACTCTAGAACGTAATGGAACTCGTCAGCATGTTCCTGTCCTGATGTTTACTCATGTCCTGCCTGTCGCAGTTACACTGAGCTTGTTGAGGGCAGCCTGTGGTATTCATTGCTCTAGTGCCAGTACTGAGAACAGAGCCTTTCGAGTTTCAGCCCCACCATACATGTAAGAACACGAGGGGAGGAGCGAGGGAATGACGGCTGAGCTGGTCTGTGAGGCTTGGAGGGTCTCATAGGGAGTGAACAGGGAAGGGCATTCTGGGCAGTGGGGGCAGCGTGGGCCAAGGCCAAGGCGATGCCCTGAGAGGAGCAGGAGAGCAGGTGCCTGAGGAGGAGGAAGCCTGTTAGACCTTGGCAGAGGGAAACATCTCTCCCAAAATAGACCGGGGAGCCCGCCATGAGGGCCGGGCCAGAAGCATTCCTAAGTAAGGAACTTCCAAGTAGGGGGTCCATGCGGCCGCTCGCCGCCCCCACCCCACCCCCCCCGTAGGCACACAGAGGACCACACCTGATAGGACTGGGGACAAGCGGTTAGGAACGATGCTTACATGTCACGGTCTCCGTGCCAGTTAACTCATTCCATGGCCAATGAATACTGGAGGGATTTCAGGCGCCAACTGGCTCTTTCCCCATGGGCCCTCCCAATCAGGAGCGACGTGGTGGAACTGGGGTGCACGGGGGAGGGGCATGGGGGAGGGTGGGGACCAGAGGAGGAGGCTGGAAGAGGGGAGGCAGGAGGTGACCAGGGGCCAAGACCTGGGCCCAGGTTCCTTCCCCTTAGATTGAAAGAGCCGGCCCCTATGGCTTAGGAGGCCGCCCTGGGTCACCCAGCCTCCCCAACATGGCCAACAAGAGCCCGTCTGTCCTCCCACAGGGAGAAGCACCAGGAGCTGCGTGCAGGCACAGGGGCAGGCTCCACGCTCACGGGCCCCGGTGAAGGTAGGTCCTTCCCATCGGGAACCCCTCCGTGGTTTGAGCCCCATGCGGGGATGCTGTAAGTGGGGCTCCTGAGGCCCACGTCCTTGAGCCAAGCCCTGGGAGGCCAGGCTCCGCCTGCTCGGCCCTCAGACTGTGCCTGCCCTCAGCACCAGAGGACGCCCTGGCCCAGCTGCTGCAGGTGCTGCGGGACCTCCAGGAGGCGCACCGCCGCAGCCCCGCCGGCTCCCCACCCCCGGAGCCCAGCTGCCTCCTGGAGCTGCAGACGTGAGGCCCGGCCTGCATTCCCTCACCGAGCCCCGGCCGGTGCCGGACGCCCCTGGTGCACTCTCTGCCCTCCGCCTCAGGCCCTCTCCTCGGGGGGCAGGCCGTGGGTCTCTCCTGGGCTGGGTGAGCTTGGTAGCCAGGGACCAGGGGATCCAGAAGTCCAAAGCTGGCGGCGTTGGCCCATCACCACCCACAGGAAGTCTCTATGGGAGACCGGGGGCTTCGGCTCCTCGGAGAGGCCTGGCTGCTTCCCATGGTCCCTGCAGCTGTCACCGCCACTAGCCCAGACTCTCCGGGGGCCTCCACCCCTGCCCAGGGCAGACCCTGCCAGGAGCTACTCCGGAGATGGTCCACACCACGTGGACTGGCACTTCCTTACGCAGAGAGATGGGACGGGACACAGAGCCCAGGAGGGCCGGCCTTGACCTCCGCACCCACTTGGCTCTGGGCCACCACTCCACCTGCTCTCCTCACAGCTGCCGGCCGCGCCCCTGGGAGAGCCGCGCAGAGCTCTGTCGCCAACAATAAACCTGCTGTAACTGTGGCTCTGGGGTCTCCTGTGGGGGCCAGAGGAAGGATGGGGCTTGGGGACCCAAACAGCTGATGGGGTGCTGGACCAGGTAGGGGGAGGTGGCCAAGGACTGGGGCCCCAATGGCCTCTGCCACCCCACCCCTTCTTTTTTGCTTCCCTCCCTCCCAGGGGGCTCCTTTGTTCTCCGGCTGCTGTCCTCACCACACCCCTGGGTTCCACACCTCCATCCCCCACATGCCCATAGCCTGCCCTGGCCGCCCGCTGTCTCTCCCTGCGGCCCCAACAGGCTCCAGGGTCCTGAAGACTCGTAATGCCAACACACATGGCCTGGCCCTGCCAGCGTTCCTTCAGCCAATGCTTTCTTCAAAGCAAGGCTCCCTCGGGCCGTCACCTCCCTGCCCTCATCCCAACCCACCTCTAGGCAGTCAGTAACCTCCAACCTCATTAACAAGGTGGGGAAGGGGCCGGAAGCACGGAGCCTTGCCTGTGGAAAATCTGGGCAAATTCTCACCAACTTCCTTTTGGAAATCCCTGTCAAAGTATAGTTTTCAAGTATATTTTTAAAAAGTGACTCACACAAATACAGAACGAACATGTATCAAAGATTTATTACACGAGGAAATGAGCGTTCGGCAAGGATAGCTCATAGAGCAGTTTGAGAAGCTAGGTACGTATTAGTAAGCATTCTGAGAAAAGATGATGTTCTCTGCGGGACAGAAACATACACGTTTATATATAACTTCAGTGTCTGGGTTCTAATAGAATGATACCAAAGTCAAACCCAAGTCCATTCCCCAAGATTAGGGATTGGCCGACTTTCTGAGAAGACCCAGGCGTGCAAGTTTTGGTCACAATTATTCTCAGAGCACAAAAGTAGCCACAGACAATGAGTAAACAAAGGGGCTTAGCTTAGTCCAATTAAACTTGACTTATAAAAACAGGTGACAGCCGAAACCGGATTGGCTCAGTGGTAGAGCGTCGGTCTGCGGACTGAAAGGTCCCAGGTTCGATTCCAGTCAGGGGCATGTACCTTGGTTGCGGGCACATCCCCGGTAGGGGGTGTGCAAGAGGCAACTGGTCGGAGTTTCTCTCTCATCGACGTTTCTAGCTCTCTATCTCTCTCCCTTCCTCTCTGTAACAAATCAATAAAAATATATTAAAAAAAAAAACAAAAAAAAAAACAGGTGACAGGCCTGATCTGATCTGCAAGCCCTCACAGGCTCTATGCCCTAGACATCAGGCCTGTTCAATGATGCTGCAGTACGACATTGACCGAACACGCCCCCTTCGCCTATTTCTGAGGTTGGATAATGTTTCTTACACCCCTAGTCCCAGCAGCCTCTTTCAGGATTGTGCGGGCAGGCCTTCTTATCAGAAGATGGGGATGGTCGCTGGCTTCCTCTTGGGTCACACCAAAACTGAGTCTCAGCTTCTGGAGCCTGGGGTCTCGTGCTGATTTGGGAATCAAAGGGCAAGTGTGAGCAGAACTCCCCAAGACAGGGCATACTTCCACAGGGCAAGGAGGGGAAGCCCCTGCTGGCTGACACTCCTCTCCCCATCAGTTAAGGGCAGCCAGTCTTGACACATCCAGGCCCCTGCAACCCTGACAAAGTTAGCATCCTTGGCCCAAACTTTGCCAGGATGACTCAGAGGAGAGGGTTACAACCTCAGGGCACCATTACCTTAATTGCTTTCTATTTCTCAGCAGGTACAAAGGTGCCCACCAGCTTGAGCTGGAGAGTCAAGGTGTTGGTGGGGCCTTGCCCCAGGGCTCGAGGCTCGAGTAGGAAATGGCCCTTCACAAAAAAATGGCTGTGGAAGCTCAGATTTCCTCTGGGACTTCTTGGCTGCGGCCCAGACCTAGAGAAACAGCTGGGAAGCTGTTAGGGCTCCAGTAGCTAACACAGACTCCAGTCTCTGTTGCTTCAAACAGCTCAGGTAGGGCCTTTATACTAAGCTGTAGTCTGTAGAATATCAACCAATCAAAACAGGGACGGCCGGGACCGGTTTGGCTCAATGGATAGAGCGTCGGCTTGGGGATTGAAGGGTCCCGGGTTCGATTCCGGTCAAGGGCATGTATCTTGGTTGCGGGTGCATCCCCAGTAGGGGGTGTGCAAGAGGCAGCTGATCAATGACTCTCTCTCATTGATGTTTATAACTCTCTATCTCTCTTCCTCTCTGTACAAAATCAATAAAATATATTTAAAAAACAAAAACAAAACAGGGACAGATGCACTATCCCTCCCAGAGCCTCTCACACCTACCTACATACCTGCCTCCTGCTCAGCCCTCACCAACTGTACCCCTAACAAGAAGCTCACTCGGTCACAAGGCCACTTGGCAAACCAGTTACAACATAGCCACGGGTCTTGTAGCAATCTGCCGAGGCAGCGCTGGCAGGGGGCTAATCCATACACAGCCGTCAGGTTCAAGGGCTGGACGCTCGCGAGCCCCTGAGGCTTCTTGCGAGCCCCTCCGGCCACACCCACCCATAAACCAGAGCTCCATTCATGCAGAGGCCTCTTGCTGTGTAGTCTGAGGGCACATTTCCAAAGACGGATCAAGGGGTGTGGGGAGCAGAGAGGTCGGGCTCAGGGTTGCCCCTCAGGCTAGACAAGGACATCGCCATACGCAGAGTAGCTCCCAGCTCTCCGAACACGAGAAGAAGCAAACCCAGGCGGGCGCAGAGCCACTAACCTCCCTCCATCCCGCCCTTGGCCCTGCGCAAGGTCCTCCGGTCCGCCAGGGGGCAGTGAGCCGGTCTTCACACGGGCTCGGCACCGTCGGCCAACTCCGGAAGAGGTACAGCCGCTGACCCGGAAGAGGTTGCGTTCAAGTGCTCTGGAGGCTGTGGTGGGGCCGCGGAGGCTTTGGAGGCGGCTGCGACGCTAGGATGAATGCCCCTCCTGCCTTCGAGTCGTTCTTGTTGTTCGAAGGCGAGAAGAAGTGAGTGGGGGGAGGGATCCGGGGCCAGCCGGGGCGTGGAGGGCCGGGCGAGGGCCCTCAGCTGCCTGTGGCCAGCTCCTGCAGATCCGGGGGCTTCCTCTGCCCTCCTCTTACGGGAGAGATGGGGGCGGGGGCGGGGTTGGAAAGCAGCTTCTGCTTGGGCGTCGGGTCTCCAAGCATCTCGCACCTGTGTCTACCAAACGTCAGATAGCCCTTCGAGGCGGCGTCTCCCCTGCGCAGATGAGCGCACCGAGACTCAGAGGAAAGCAGCCGCCGGGCACTCGGGGAGTGGCGGGTCCGTTTTGGACCCAGAGTGCCTGCTCTGGCAGCCGTCTCCTGAGTCGCCACCATTATCCGCCTTGCTGCATCCAGAGTGATGTTTCTTAGCTTCCTATCCGATCTCCATCCGCCCGTGGAAAACCCTCAGGCTCCCCATTGCTTGCGGGGCGAAGGGAAACGTAGTCTAGTGGTCACAGAGCTTGGGCTTGGCTCCTGCATCCCCCACTTAAGGCCTGTGTGGTGTGTCTTTGGGCAAGTGACTCAAGTAACTTAATCGGCCTGAGGCTTATTACGGTATTAAATCACAGTAAGTAAATCGGGGGAGGGGGGAGGGGAGGGGAGTAAATGAAGTAATTTATGTAAAGTGTTTAGTTCAGACTAAGAGAAATTTGGCTTTTCAAATTTCACCTGTATGCAGGGCTTTATGGACTAGCCCTTGCCAGCCACTTCATTCTTCCTTTAGAGCAGGTTCTCATCTGGGGATTATTTTGCCCCCCAGGGGACTTTCGGCAATGTCTGCAAACATTTTTGATTGTCACAAAGGGGTACTACTGGCATTTAGTGGGTAGAGGCCAGGAATACTACTAATATCCTAAAATGTCCAGCCTCTGTCTCTTCCTAGGATCACCATTAACAAGGACACCAAAGTACCCAATGCCTGTTTGTTCACCATCAACAAAGAAGATCACACACTAGGAAACATTATTAAATCGTAAGTTCCAAGTCAAGGGCTCTCAGGGGCTATGTCTCCCCCTCCCACCCTATGTTTAATGTTCTTTGAAGCAAAGTACAAGTTCCAGAAGATTTTTTTTTTCTTTTGGTTAATTCTCACCTGGTATTTTTTCCTTGATTCTAAATAGAATGGAAGGGGGGTGGGCGGAGGGAGTAAGAGAGAGGGAGAGAGACATATTGATTGGTTGCCTTCTACACATGCCCAGACCTGGCTGGGGATGGAACCTGCAACTTTGGTATGCGCCCTTGACTGGGAATCCAACCCTTGACCTTTCAGTGCACGGGCCAATACTCTAACCACTGCACACAGCTGCCAGGGCCAAAAGATTTTCTCGTCTCTCTGAGCTGCCCGAGTCCCGGTTGCTTGCTCTGCTAGTTTACTCATTCCAGTGCCTTTTCTTCAAAATGACACTGACTGATACCTGTTCGCATAGCCACATTTCTCTGCATTGGCTCATTTACTGACTAAAGTAAATGAATATGCAGGAAGCCACAGAAAAGTAGGTCTCCTTGTGGTTTTGTGTTAATGAGCACTGAGAAGTAGTGGAGGTTAGCTCCTACCCTCTCTGCCCATTTGTGACAATGACTTCAGTAACACCTGTATCCTAAGATTGTAACTGAGTAAAATAAGATTGCAACTGAGTAAAATAAGAGGAAGAGGTAAGAGAGGGGACCAGTGGTTATCCCGTACCCCTCGTGAGCATTTTATCCTGGTTGATGGGTGTTTGTTTACATCAGTGAAGTCCTGGCCAGATAGGTGGTTAATAGTGTGATTGATGTTCTGGCCCGGAGACTTGTCATTTCACTGAAAAGTACCATCATTGTAGGAGGCCTTCCCCAGGTTTGTGTGTTTGAGACGGGGCTGAAGTCTGCCTGGTCTCCTGGGGGAAGTAGAGGGTGGTGTTGCCTATATTCTGGATGATTCCCACCCTGAACCCAGCCAGTGGTGCACCCAGGCTTCTTTGGAGCCTGCTGCTCCTCCGCTGTATGATTGTCCTCAGCTGTGCAAGGGCTCTCCCCTGGTGCTCACACTTGGCTGAGCTGCTCTGGGGAAAACCCCGTGTGCCCAGCAAAAACACCGCTTCACTTCACCACCTCACAGAACAGACCGTAGCGGGGTGGACCGCAGCTGCTAACCTGTTGCCTAAAGGACATCCATTTCCCTAACTGCTCAGAGTCTAGGGCCTTCTCTCCCTGCGCCTTTATTTGTTGTCAGATGCTTTTGAGCTGGGATGGGGCTTTTTTCCATTGGCTGGAATTTTACTGCCTAAGGAAGTCTCTTTCTGCACATTGCAGGGTCTGACTTCCCCTAAGCCGGGAAAAGGTTATTGGAAACCTTGTTTACCAGCTAAGGTTCTTGATCCTCATGGATATGGGGGATGGGGTGTGGGGGAAGGAGTTCCATATGGTATATCTTCTCCAAAATATCTGTTTTACTTGTTTTGGGTGGGAAAAAGACATACAACAAAGTTAAGGGCAAGGAACACCTGGTGTCAGCTGCCAGCTGCATTTGCTCACGGGCCTCAGCCCAATGAGAAGACCCCTTGTCTAGAAGCCTGGTAGCTCCTCACTCTTCATCCCTGTTTCTCAGACAGCTGTTGAAGGACCCTCAGGTGCTGTTTGCTGGCTACAAAGTTCCCCACCCCTTGGAGCACAAGATCATCATCCGTGTGCAGACCACACCAGACTACAGCCCCCAGGAGGCCTTCACCAATGCCATCACAGACCTCATTAGTGAGCTCTCCCTGCTGGAAGAGCGATTCCGGGTGAGGAGCCAGCGGTTCAGGAGTGGGGTGGCTTGGTCTGGACGCTATCCTATATGTACCAGAAATGTGGGTTCTCATGCCCACATTTGACTAAGGATTGACCCCTGAGTTGTTTCCTTTTATCTGGGGGGAAGGGGTGGAGGTGATGACAGAGCATGGCCTCCAGGAAGTGTGGATAAGGTTATGGAGTTGAGGCCTGCGTGGGGCTTGCTGTCTGCATTCTGGTCTCTATGGAAGCAAGGGGCCGACTGTCCCTTAGTGCTGCTCCTCCAAGTCTGTTCTCTGGTGCTGGCTGCTCTGTGGTTGGTAAGGCCTGTCTGTGTCCAGGGTATGTCTATCTAAAGGGCAGCTCATCCTAAGATGGGGTCACAGCTGTTCACGCAGGGAATTTCAAAGTCTAGACAATTTAGGGAAAAATTCAGCTTACATACCAGAAAGCATCTCAGCTCCACCTGACCCCATCCTAGGCAGCAGGATGAGTGAAGGGGCTGGTGGGCAGGCTCAGAGAGTCCCTAGGGTTACTGGCTGCCCAGCTTCCTGGAGCTGTACAGGGCCTGGCTTACTGCCTTTTTTTTTTCCAGTTTGTGCTGCACTCTGGAGCCATGGAAGCAGTTTCCTGGCAAACCTTGGTTAGAGGTGCTAGGGCTGAATTTCCAACACCCTGACCCGCCATTCCAGCTAAGTGCACTGCCTTTCCTTTCCCTCAGGTGGCCATCAAAGACAAGCAAGAAGGAATTGAATAATGGACTGGGTCTTGCTTGGCCAGTTCCTACCCTGCACCAGGCCCCTTTCCAGGCACTAAATGGAAGAGAGCAGCTTCTCCTAACTGTGGCCTCCTTGGAAATAGCCCAGAGATCCCCTCACCCCCGACACCGCTGTGTCCTGTACATAGATTCTGTTTTATCTTCCTAATAAATGTGGTTGGAGAAGTTGCGGTGTGAGCTGAAGCAGAGGTGACTTAACAGCAAATAGATTGTCAGGCTCAGTGGAGGTAGATGACCTGTCTCAAGGCTACTCGGGTCACTCTGCAGAGTGGATTGGCCCAGAGATCCGTATTTCTGTCTGAGGGTGGCAGGAACAAATGCATTCTGAGCCGCCTGGGAACCTGGGGTGCTGTGGGGAGGCAGTCTTGAGTAGAAGGAAACTGCTCAAACCCATGTACTTCCGTAAGTCTCTACTGTAAAAGCCCCAGCTGCCAGGTCAACCTGTCTTACTCAAAGTAGCAACACCAGAAGGGGCCCACAAACAGCTCTCCCAGGCTTCTCTTAAAGAATAGAGTTTAATATAATAAAAATATTAATAGAAAGATCTCCATCCCAAAAGTCAAATAAGTTAAGTTGTATCCCTGGTACTTTGCAATAGAGGCAGGAGCTCCTGCTGGAAGCTAGGATCTCTCCCAGATGGCTACAATGTTGGAGTCTGTCAGAGCGGTGAGGTAGGTAAAGGTGGGGTTGGCCGCCACTGTGTTCACCATGGTCCTGGTCACTGTCTGGCCGAGGGCCCGGGGTTGGGGCCACTTAAGGATCTGGTAAGGAGAGAGAGGGGGGCTGGGTTCCTCCTAGATGCCAGCCTGCAGGCTGCACTATCCCAGCAGGGAGAGAGGGGAGCAAGCTGCATACCTGTGTGGGGGCCTGCGGGGCTGCCGGCAGTGGAGGCTGCTGCATCAGGAGGTGCCTGACATCGTAGATCCACACGCTGCCCTCCTCATCTCCACAGAGCACAATGCCCTTGTCTGCCAGGACACAGAAATGGGAACTAAGGTGGGGCAGAGCTCCATGGGTGGAAAGCAGGGTGGAGAGTGTGGTGGGCTCACCAGGACAAGTGCTGAGTGAGAAGTAGGCCACCTCGGTTGGTGACCACTGCAGACGAGCCAGGACCACCACTGCCACTGTAGACTGGCTGCCCCGGCTCACCCAGGTCTGGCTCCAGCTCCACAGGCAGATGGTGCCCAGGCCACCGTTCCCCTTGGAGGCTGTGAGGAATAAGGGAGAACTCTGCCTAGGCGCCCTCTCCAGGCATTTCTTGTTCTACAGTGGGGACCCCTCAGAAATTCTCAGACCCAAACCCCAACCCAGGGAGAAGCAACCCATGAAGGCCTTATCAGGCCTAGCTGGGACCCAGGAGGCCAGACTCCCAAGCAGGGCTCTCACCCACGACATCTTCATTCACAAACGCCAGCCCGTCCACTCTCTGGCCAGATGCCTGGGAGCCCTCAGAGAAGATGAACTCCACTTCACACACCCTGTGGGACCATAGGAGATGCTGGTAATTTCCTTGCATATACAATTTCTCATGCATTCACTGAGAACATCCATTGGCCCCCTACTCTGGACCCTGCCCAGCGTGGAGGTCAGAAGATCAACCAGGATTATGTGTTCTGAGTCCTGGACAGGTTAAGCTTCACCCTGGAAGTAAGTCTACTGAGTCACAGGTGGCACGAGGGCCTGGTTCTTCCAAGGGGGGGGGGGGGTGATACGGCCAGGGAGGGTTCTGGAGAGAAGCAGTGCCTCTGAGAAGGGAGAGACTGGGGAGGGGTTTGCCGTGACCCAGAGGATGGGGAGTGGCTGCATGTTTCTAAGCTGAGAGTGTGTAGGGTCACATTGCCTGGAAAGGCCACCCAGCAGATGCAGGTTCCTGGAGAGGACACCTGGAAGCAAGAAAGGCAGCCATGTACTAAGGCCAGGCAGATGTGAATGAACAGGGAAGGAGTGAAGAGGCTGGCCTGGGGCTTCACTCCCAGATGTGACACAGGGCCACCACACACACTGGCTAAGCAACTGCCTCAGTCTACTGAGGCTTCCCCTACTTCACTCCTGCCGCCTAATCCTAAAATTCTTTCCAGGCTATTCATTGCACTTAAAATTAAATTCAAAATCTTATGGCCAACAAACCCAGTGTAGCCTGGCCCAGCAACTGTGCCACCTTATCTCGCCACCATTTCTTCTGGTTTTACAAGCTGTGACCAGGCCTCCCTAATGAACCGGCTCTCCCTACAACTGGCCCTTTGTACATTATTCCTCTTGTGTAGGCACCGTCCCTCCTTCCCATCTTGAGTCATAGGGCTCATGTGGAGAGGATGTCTGAAAACTTGCCCATCTGCCACTGGTCACCTCTTCAGAGTCCCCTTGGCCTTCCTTTCCCCTCTCAAAGCACCTGATTCTCTTTCCTTCATAGTTGACATCATACTTCATAGGCTTTTAATTTGCCACCTTTGTTTAATGCATCTCCTACTAGGCTTATGGGCCCCAAGAGGGCTGGGACTCCATGCTGAGCACTGTCTGGGGCCTTCCAGTTGGCATGGATGAGCCACAAGCCTCAACCTGGCCCTTCTTTCTAGGGCCTCATCTCTGCCCAGACACCGTCTCCCTTGTCCTCCCAATAACCCTAGGATGCAAGTTATTGTCCCAACTTTACAGACGAGCAAATTATGCTAGGGCAGGAAGGTCACATTGCTGGGAAGTGGCAGGACGGGTGGCAGTGAGGTTGCAGGTGAAGTGATCCCAGCTCAGAAAGAGAACCCAACCAAGTCCCATAGCCAAACACCAGGGAAGGAAAGATTCACAAGGACCTTTACTCAAGTGAAGTGGCTGCTCATGGAAAACCAGCAGAAGGTGGGGACAGGCCAGCTCTGTGAAGACAGCCTCTGGCTGCCCAGGGCAGCATGCATGGTTTGGGTATCGCCTCTGGCAGATGTGCCTGGGGCCAGACATCTGAACTGGCAGCTGTCCCAGCTCTGAGGCTTGGCTTTCAAGGCACCCCCATCCAGCTCACCTTCTCTTTTGAGGCTGGTCCAGTCGCACGTCCCAGCAGCAGCAGCCACCCTCACAGCCAGCCAGCAGATAGGCATCTGGGCAGGAGGCAACGGGGCAGAGGCGCAGGGGTGTGGAGGTGCTATCGAGTGTGAGCAGCTGGCTGCCGGTGGGCGAGAGGGAAAGCATCAGGCCACTGATCCAGATGTCCACCAGCCTGGCAGCCAGCCCTCCTCACACCAGCTCTGCACAGTCATCACCTGGCCTGGAATGTGTAATCTTCATTGGGAACCCCAATGTCCCAGAGGATGATCCGCTTGTCGTAGGAGGCCGCTGAGGAGGGGACAGGGAGAGGTGGCTCTGAGGAGGCCCAGCTTCCTCCTGCAGGCCGCTTCCAAGGCCGAGAGTGTGGTTCCAAGGCCTGCCCCTCTGAAGCAGGGAGGGCGGGCCACAGCCTACAACCCTGTCTTACTCTAACCTAACGTGGGCCACACCAGGCGGCTATCTTTTGTAGGCCTCTGCTCACACATTACTCTCACCACAACTGAGCCCAGGTCGGAGTGGCCTAGGTTGTCAGAAAGCTTCAAGGCCACAGAACAGGTTGGGGGAAAAGCCAGGACCTGAAGCCCACTCAGTTGTCCACAAAGCCACATTGCTTCTATCATGATTGGCGCCAACCTTGGCAGCCTGGAATGGGACTGCCAGCCATGGGGAGCACTGAGGCACTGGGCTGCAGGGCAGGGGTGATGGGGGAGCCCTGGAGGTATGGGGGGGTCTTACTGAAGAGGTGGGTCTCGTGGGTGGGGCTGAAGCAGAGGGTGGCGATGGCCTTCTTATGGGCCCGGATGACCCCACAGCAGAAGCCAGCTCGCACATGCAGCAGCCGGACCTGGCCCCGGAGGCCTGCAGCCGCCAGCACGTTCCAGCGCTTCTTGTGGCCTGCCTGTGTGACCACCGTCAGGGCTGTCCAGGCCACGGAGAAGAACTCCTGGGGGGTGGGAGAGTGGAGCAGTCACCAAGGGGCAGAGCTACATGTGTGCACATGCATGCAGGATCAAATCTGGGAAACAGGCCCAGCATCAAAGAAAAAGTCACCATGTGAATAGGTGGCACTTCTGCTCCCAGGGCTCTGCCCGCTGCCCTGCAGGAGCAGGGCCCTGGCACTCACCTCGCCAGGTGCCTTGTACTTGTGTAGAACGATGCCCGTCTGGCAGTCTATCACACACACAGCTTCCCCGCCACACGTGGCCACAGACTGGGATGTGGACCCTGTATGCCCTGTTTTGAGGGGTCAGGTCAGCCTAGTAAAAACATCTGTGAAGTTATCCCCTGCAGTTCCCTCCTCCTGGCCTTGGCATTTTTGAAGCTCTCTGTCTATCCTAATTCCCCCATGGCCCAGGCAGCCCCACTCCGGGTGGCATTCTCACACCCCCGCCCAGAAAGCTTGTTTTGTTTGTACCCTGTGGCCTTTGCCCTGCCTGCCCACCAAAGATGTACCCTCTTCGCAGGCTGGCTCGAAGGCGCAGGCCCAGAGCTGGGTTTTCAGGTCCTGGGGGCTGTTGTTCTTGCTGTGGCATTGCAGGAAGTGCAGGGGCTCCAGCTTCAGGGCAGGCTGTGGGGGCAGAAGGCGGTTATAGCTGCCCCAGTCCTTGCTCCCAGCCACACACTCCCTGCCACCTTGCTCTAACTTACCTGGCTGCCATCGGAGCCCGTGGGGCGGCCCTCCACCTGGGCCGATGGGGAGGTGCACACCCGCTTGTAGGGAGAAAAGTTGAGTGGGGCATCACCTGGCCGTTTGCAGGCCCCTGGCCTGGCCTGTGTGGGGGAAGGGAGGCTCAGAGCCTGGTGACCATCTACCCAGGTCTTTCCTTTCTGTCACAGGCTGGGCCGCACCCTCCCATGGGTGCAGGAGGTAAGGAGTGGCCCAGGTCAGAGGGAATTAGCTGGGGCATTGGAGGCTGTCCCCTGGGCTCATCCTCCAGAACTCCCTGCTTCCCTGGAGCCTCCCTGGGAAGGAAGGCCGCGGCAGGCCCTCATAGCCCGGGGAGCCACAAAGAACCATACTCACCCTGGGCTCCTGGACAGCTGTGGCTTTTGGGGACTTCTCTGGGATGTTTGCCCCACGGACCTGGGTCCCACCAGAGGCCACCAGCTCCTCAGAGATCATCCGCACCTGGTGGAGCCAGGGCATCAAGAAGCCGGGCTCAGCCCCTCTGCCCTTCCTCACACCCCCCGTCAGAGGGAGCCTGTGCCTCCTGAGCTGGGAAAGGGCCTTCCTAGCCGAGAACGGTGCCTTTCCTGACCTGCCCCGCTGCCCACAGTGCCTCATGGTCAGAGGCCTCCGGGGCAGCCCAGGACATGGGAGCCAGCAAGGAGCTGGGAGAACAGACTCTATACAAGGGCGTGAGGACATACCCGCCACCGAGTGAACTCGCTGAGGGACTCGGGCCCGTAGTGCACATCCCTGACAGCAGACCTCACGAAGTCCGCCCGGGCCTTCTCAGCCTCCTCTTCAGGGCTCAGTGAGGCCATGAACTTCTCCCAGTGAGCTGTCACCTGGTACAAGAGGGACCAGATCCAGGCCCAGCTCATCCCCAGACCCTCCATGACCCCCCTACCCCCAATCTCAGGGCCTCAGGTATTTCAACCTCACTGTCTCCTGGAAGCCTCGTAAACCACAGGCTTACTAGCTACATGTTACACAATCTAAGCAACACACATCGCTGCAGAGGGAGAAAGTGGTCTGTCCAGGGGAAAGTTACTGGGGAAATCTCTCAGCTTCCCCCCCCCCAACCCCTCCCCCCTGCCCCCACCGGGCCCTGCCCACCTAGAGGGCAAGACACCACCCAAGGACAAGAGGCCAAGCACCACAACCAGGTTCAGAGTATGTCAGGCTAGGGACTAAGGGCCCCTGGGTGTCAGGGACGAGAGCCCCTGTAACCCCCCTCAGTGTCCTACAAATGTCCAAGCCTGTCGCTCGATCCTCAAGGCTGCCAACCGCCCCCAAGCCCCGAGACACCTCTCAGTCTCCTTACTCTGATGGTCAGCTCCCGGTTCAGGTTCTCCACCTGAGAGGAAGTGGAGGAAGCATCTTTGCCATTGACCTTGCGCAGCTTGGGCAGGAGAAAGGAGACTTTCAGGTTGTCGTTGACCTGGGGAATGAGGGAAGAATGGCTTGAGGGCTGCTGAGCCCAAGCCCAACAACAGGGTGCTGGCCCAGGCTTGGGGCCTCTGGGCGAAGCCACTTACTGTCAGGAAGGGGTTGCCCTCCAGGCTGAGCTCCTCGAGCTTCGGGAACTGGCACAAGGCAGTGACATCCCCCAGCTGGTTGTTGCAGCAGTGGAGGACGCGCAGGTGGGACAGGCCCAGGTTGTCCGGCAGCACCTCCAGTTGGTTGTTGGAGAGGTCCAGCTCCTGCAGCTGCTTCAGGCGGCTCAGGAGCTTGGGGTCCAAGTGCTCTGAGTGCAGCTCCAGTCCTGACAGGCTGAGGTGGAGAGCAGACGGTGTGGGCTCAGGGCAGGCAAGCCTCCAGCCCCGCACCTATGGCAGCCTCTGAAGGCTTTGTCACTGGCATTTGTTGTGTACACACAGCCTCCCATCAACAACCTATTTTTTAAAATCTTTTAACTGTTTTAAAACTTGGGTCAGCTGGCCCCCTCCAGGATGCTTTTCCTGAGCCTCTGTAGGGGACTCCTCTCTGTTCCCCAGGCCCTCTGTAATTATCTCGACAGGTTCTCAATTCCCTTTCTGCAAGACTGTTCTTAGCGACCCGGACCCTCTTCAGGGGTGAGGCCCCTCGGGCCCACCGGCCCACCTCCTCACGAGAGGATGGCAGCTGGCCCCCGCCCAACCGACATGGTGATAACGGGGCCCGTAAGGGTCCGGGCCTCGCTTCCGAACCCCCCGGCCCGCCTCTTACTCCAGGCTCCGGATCCTCCCCAGTCGGCGGCTCTTGGGTTGCCCCCGTTCCATCAGCAGCTGCGGGTTGAGGGGGCCCATGGCGAGGAGGCACGGTCGGCGCTGGCAGTATCGGCGGCGGCTGCGTTCGGCGGAGCCCGCGACTCCGGAGGCGGCTGCTGGCGCCCGCAGCTGGCGGAGCCCAGGAGGTGGCGCCGCGCGAGCCCCTCACCGGAGATGACCGGAAGGAAGCGGCTCCGCGGGCCTCGTGCCCCGAGTGTGGACTACAAGCCCCAGCGGCCCCTGCAACCCCGCGCCTGCGCCCTGGCCGCCGGGACGCTACAATGGCGGCTGCGGTGGTGGCGGCCCCCGAAGTTCTTCGGGAATGCGGCTGTAAGGGTATCCGGACCTGTCTAATCTGCGAGCGGCAGCGGGGAGGGGACCCACCCTGGCAGCACTCCCCACAGGTAAAAAGGCTGGGAGAAGAGGGACCTACAACTTTACTTTATTCTTCATAGGGGGAAACTGAGGCCCCGACTGACCGTCCCGGATCAGACCTTGTTAGGGGTCCTCGCAGTGGGATGTTGGGGCGAAGAGGCGCAGGCTTTGAGGAGCGGGGAAGGGATTGGGACGTGGGTGCAGTCCGACCACAGCTCACCTCCGGGACCTGGCGGGAGTCTGACCGCAAACCCCTACTCCTTCCCCACCCCCCACCCCTCTCGACGGGGCCTGGGAGCTTCACGGGCCCGCGGGGAAACGATATGGAAAGAGTAGAGGTTGCCGAAAACCAGGGCAAAAGTGCCCATAAGGCCTTGGATGGAAATGAGCAAGGAGGAAATTAATTCCAGTTAATTAACGAAAAAAGGACTCAGCTTTTGAACTGGGCCTGGAGGTATTTAAGTTGGTTGATAGGGCTTTGCACCTGGGGAAACTGCTTGATTGACTATGGGCCTGGGGCAGAGGCGTGTGCTTGGAAGGCGGGTGATGCTCCAGGTGGGGAAGGTGAGGTCCGAGGGGCCTGACCACAGAGCGCCCTGTGTGTGGCCGCCGGCCAGGCTGGACTTGTCTTGGGCGCCTTGGAGAGCCCTGAAGGGTTTTAAAGGAAGTTACATGTGAATTGTAGAACAATCCTGGCGATGACTACAAGGGTGAGCTGAGAGTTTTTTTCCTGGGGTCGTGTCTCCCCACACAGAAGAATGAGTTCCAGGGGCCAGAAGATTTAAGCAGAAGTGTGGAAAATTTATTACAAGCAGATTCAGACTCCCTGCACAGAGGGGTTGGGGGCGTAGGAGGGACAATACTGGGCTGCCCCCAGAGCCTTGTAGTCCAGGGTATATATTTGCTACAAGCCTGCTCTATCACTACCCATGTCCTCACCTGATTGATTCCCCAGCAACGGACCTGAACTTTCCCTGTTTCTATGTGACAGTACACCTTGTTGCTGCAGGCCCTCCCTTGGTTTCCCATGCTTCTGTTCTGTGTCCAGAAACATTCTGTTATTTCAGCGTGGTTGGTTCCTGTGGTTAGGCTTGCTCAAATTGCCATGCCTGCTCCTGCCGATGTTTTACCTGCCTTTGTTTTCCATTGGACCCCTGCCCCGTCTGCCTGCATTTCAAGCTAATTTCTCTCACTGGGACTTCATAGGAAGGTATTGATGCGGGGAAGCCAGGGAAGAAACTGCAGCGTCCCTGGTAAAAATGTGAAAGATATTGTAGAAAACGGTATGAAGGTTTCTCAGAAAATTAAAAATTGAATTACCATATGACCCAACAATTCTGAGGATATACCCACAAGAGTTGAAAGCAGGGTATCAAAGAAATATTTGGACGCCCCGTGGTGGAAGCAACTGGTGTCATTGCTGGATAAATGGATAAACAAAAAAGAATACACACATACAATAGAATGTTATTCAGCTTTAAAAAGGATGCTGATATATGTTACAATATGGATGAACTGTGGAAACATTATGCTAAGTGAAATAAGCCAGTCACAAAAGGACAAATGCGGTATGATTCCACTTAGTACATTAGTTAGAGTAGTCAAAATCATAGACAGGAACTAAAATAGTGGTAGCCAGGGACTGGGGAAAGGAAAAAGGGGAGTTGTTTAATGTTTACGTGATTGTATTTATTTATTTTTTTAAATACATTTTATTGATTTTTTACAGAGAGGAAGAGAGAGAGACAGAGAGTTAGAAACATCGATGAGAGAAAATCATCAGTCAGCTGCCTCTTACACATCCCCTACTGGGGATATGCCTGCAACCAAGGTTCATGCCCTTGACCGGAATCGAACCTGGGACCTTTCAGTCCGCAGACCAACGCTCTATCCATTGAGCCAAACCGGTTTCGGCTGTTACATGATTTTAGTTTTGCAAGGTGAAAAGTTCTGGAGATTGATCACACAACAGTGAATGTACTTAACACACTGAATTGTACACTGAAAAAATTATTAAAGATAGTAAATTTTATGTTATTTATATACTAGAGACCCGGTGCACAAAATTCATGTGTGTGTGGGGGGGTGTCCCTCAGCCCACCGTGCACCCTCTCCAATCTGGGACCCCTTAAGGGATTCTCATAATTGAGGACTGCTGGCTCCCAACTGCTCGCCTGCCTGCCTTCATGATTGCCCCTGCTTCTGCCTGCCAGCCTGATCACCCCCTAACCACTCCCATGCCAGCCTGATCGATGGTTAACTGCTCCCCTGCCAGCCTGTTTGCCCCTAACTGCCCTCCCCTGCAGGCTTGGTCACCCCTAACTGCCCTCCCCTGCAGGCCTGGTCACCCCTAATTGTCCTCCCCTGCAGGCCTGGTCACCCCTAACTGCCCTCCTTTGCAGGCCTGGTGCCTCCCAACTGCCCTCCCTTGCTTGCCTGATAACCTACAACTGTCCTCCCTTGCAGACCTGCTCCCTCCCAGCTGCCCTCCCCTGCTGGCCATCTTGTGGTGGCCATCCTGTGTCCACATGGGGACAGGATCTTTGACCACATGGGGGCAGCTATCTTGATCTTGTGTTGGAGTGATGGTCAATCTGCATATTACTCTTTTATTAGATAGGATAGAGGCCTGGTGCATGGGTGGGGGCCAGCTGGTTTGCCCTGAAGGGTGCCCGGATCAGGGTGGGGGTTCCCTTGGGGCATGGGCAGCCTGGGCAGCCTGGGCGAGGGGCCTGTGGTGGTTTGCAGGCCAGCCATGCCCCCTGGTGATCCAAGTGGAGGCCCTGGTATCTGGAATTTATTTACCTCTACAATTGAAACTTTGTAGCCTGAAGTGGAGCCAAGCCTTCTGCTTGCTCCATGGCTGCCGCCATTTCGGTTTGGATTTGTTTACCTTCTATAACTGAAACTTTGTAGACTTGAGTGGAGGCCTACGCCAGCTAGGGCAGGCAGAAAGCTTGGCTTCCTCCATCACTGGGGAAACCCAAGCCTCCCTCCTGCTCTCTGTGGCCGCAGCCATCTTGGTTGGGGTTAATTTGCATACTTGCTCTGATTGGCTGATGGGCATGGCTGGTGGGTGTAGCAAAGGTATGGCCAATTTGCATATTACTCTTTTATTAGATAAGATTACCATAAAACTTTTTTTAGATAGCACCAAAGGTCTGAACTATGTCTGGGACTGACACTCTGGGGGTAACATCTTCCCAACATGATGACTGGGGGATGAGCAAGATGTCTATGATGGCTCCCACTTTTTTTAAAAAAATATATTTTATTGATTTTTCACAGAAGAAGAGAGAGGGACAGAGAGTTAGAAACATCGATGGGAGAGAAACATCAATCAGCTGCCTCCTGCATACCCCCCTCTGGGGATGTGCCCCCGATCGTAATCGAACCCGGAACCCTCCAGTCCACAGGCCGACACTCTATCCACTGAGCCAAACCGGTTTCTGCTGATGGCTTCCGCTTTTAACATGTCCCATATGAGGACATGGTGGTTCAAGATGGTGTGGTAGCAATGTCTATGGAACATAAAAGGGGAGGAGGCAGAATTGATTGGTTAGGGAGGACCTCAGACTGCCGTGTAAATCTGATAAATCATGGTCAACTGTAGGGATCCATTATAGGATTAAGCCTCAGACTGACCTGCTGGCAAAGCCGCAAACAAGTCCCAGCTTAGAGGGAACAGACCTCTTAGCATAATTAAGCTTGACCTTATACACTCCCTAGATCCTACCTGGTTAGCTAATGGGCTGTGGGAGATGCAGCAAGTGCTGCCAAAACAAGATGAAACAAAAACATTGTAACTATGGTGACCACTATCTTGTTTACCTCTGACTATAAAATAAAGGCTCAGCTTGCAGTCTGGATCTATTCTGTGGCCTCATCCAGACACAGGAAGATCCACCTAGACCCAGCTTATTCTTTTGGTCTGTCTTTTCTTCATCCTTCGCCGGCCCTCAGGCTCACCGAACCCTTGGCTGTGCTGGCGTGGCACAGTCAACCCTGTCGGGAGCTCCAGAGCAAAGACTGCCCATTAGAGGAAGCCCATGCTGGGCAGAAATGGCCAGGTCCGTGCTGGGTCACTGGCTGGAAGCTGCACAGGATGAAGATGGCCTCTGCTCAAAACCGAGGCAGGTCCCGGAGGTACTACCGCAGGAGATTGGCAGCCCAGCTGTCCTCTCGATGGCTGGCAAGTTCTGTTCTTTTTTGAAGGGAAATTCTGGCAGTGCCTCTGGCTGCCACAAAAGAGGGCAGAGCCCAAAGACATCCCCACCTGGACTGTAGAGGGCTTCTCCCCTCTGGACTTCAAGCATGTGCGGCTCGCCCCTGGACAGCCCTAGGACCCCAGCGTTAGGGATAGCATATTTCAAACTCCTGGTCTGTTCACACCATCTTCTCCTTTAATTCTCACAAGGCTGAGGACAGAAGATACCCTACAATGACCCAGAAACTGGGCTCAGGCTGATCCCCAGCCTCTGGCTAGTTCCTTAGTTTTGCTGAACCTTGTTACCTCATCTATAAAATGGAGAACAACAACGACAAAATGGTTATGCAGATTCTCTTTCCTTTTATGGATGAGGAAAGAGAGAGGGTCTTCCCCAGGAGGCACCCCGAGGCAGGGGTTTGGCCTCCGTCTAGACTCTAGCTGCCTTCCAAAGTGGCTTCAGGGGAGGATGAATCACTGGCAGGGGCTGCTCCCCAGAGGCCCTTCGGGAGGGCACAGCTCCAGTGGCTCCAAGACCCTGTCTTTCTTTTGTAGAAAACACATCGTTTCGTTTACTATTCGGACACTGGCTGGGCTGTGGGGGCTGAGGAGTCTGACTTTGAAGGCTGGGCCTTCCCCTTCCCTGGCGTGACACTGATAGAGGACTTCGTGACCCGAGAAGAAGAAGCTGAGATGGTGCAGCTGATGGACCGTGAGCCTTGGAAACTCTCACAGTCCGGACGGAGGAAGCAGGTAGGTCGGCCCCAGAGCTGGGAAGGAGGGTCGGCCTGTCAGAGAGGACAGCCACTTTGCTGGGCCCTTTGACTCTCCTCCTGCTCAGTGCCCTCCTCGTAAGCCATACCAGGTATATGCCCAGCTTACTTGGCCTGCCTGCCTTCCCAGGAGAATGCCGTGAGCCAGGACTATAAGGAAGATGGACCCCCAGCTCTTTCTGCTCTCAGCCAGCTGGCCTCGTGCTGGTCACTACGTCAGGGAGGGTTCCTTGACAGGTGCCAGGTGCTTTCCTGTCTCTTAAGTTCTCGTCCCGCCAGTTTCATGTATTTTGGGCCTCCAGGTCCCAGACCTCCTCTTTGGGATCTCCTCCCCCCCTTCCGCAGGCCCACTCCTCTCTGTCTGGGTCACCCCTATTCCTCAGCTCCAGTAATCCTTGCCCCCACCAGAACCTGTGAACCACCCATCCGGCACCTGTTTGTTTTGTTTTTTAAAATATATTTTTATTGATTTCAGGGAGGCAGGGAGAGGGAGAGAGAGAAACATCAATGATGAGAGAATCATCGATTGCTGCCTTCTGCTCACCTTCTCCTGGGGATCAAGCCCCCAATCTGGGCATGTGCCCTGACCAGGAATTGAACCATGATCTCCTTTTCACAGATTGATTTCAACCACTGAACCACATCAGCCAGACGTCCAACCACCTTTTCACTTTCCCCTCCCATCATCTGTACTGCAGCCAGTTATACCGTTTCCCCAAAAATAAGACAGTGTCTTATATTAATTTTTTCTCCCAAAGTTGTGCTAGGTCTTATTTTCAGGGGACGTCTTATCTTTCCATGCGCTTGGTCTTATTTTCGGAGGATATCTTATTTTCGGGGAAACACAGTAGTTACTTCCTTGGGTGCCCCTCGACTTTTTGTGTTTGCTTCATCATACTCTTTCTGCTCTTCTACAGCCCTAGTCAAGTCCAGCTTCCTTCTCCCTCATACCCATGTGCAGCCTGCTGTCAGGTCTCCCCGGCTCTGGCCTTCCTGCGCCTGCAGTCATACGTACCTCCCACAGGTCATCACTTTGCTGCTGTCCTCCCAAACCTCTTTCCCTCCCATTGATGGCCTTGCCTCTCTGAGAAAACAGAATGTCTGCACACCCGCCTGCCACGCGTGGTGTGATTCTCCTCACCGGAGCCCAGGGTTTCCCCAAGGCCCCTCCAGCTGTGTGCGGGTCCCTCCTTCTCAGAAGTCCTTGTTCAGCATTGCTTCCCTCTCTCCCCAAGACGAAGTTTGCCTCACTGGCTCCTCCCAGCTCCCAGTAAGCTCCACTTCTCTGCAACAGATTTGTTGTTCTCACTGTTTTGTGTGTGTGTGTGTGTTTTAATTAAATTATTATCTGTGTACATATTTTACCATTGCCCCCCCCTCCCATGCATACCCACCCTCCCCAGATTTTGTATCCATTGGTTCTCACTGTTTTTGATTCCTCTCCTCCCATTCCTGCTTAACCCACTCAAAAACTGCTTCCATCCCTCACCTCCATACTCTGAACCCAGCAACTGGTTCTCAGGGCTCAGGCCTTGAGCCACTTTTCTCCCTGCTCCCGACATCCCCTTGCTGATCTTAGTGAGTCATGGCCCTATACACCGCCACTGTATTTTGGACTCCACGTTCATATCTCCAGCCCAGGTTTCTGTTTGTCAGACCCTAACCTGAGCTTTGGCTGTTTGCCCACACACGGTCCCCTGCAGTGTCCCCGTCATGGCACATTCCATCGTCCACCTGTGCAGGCTGGAATCGTGGGTCTCTCCAGGTTTCTCTTTCTCATTAATTCCTGTCAGTTCATTCTTCCTTCAAAACCTCCCCACCACTGCCAACACAGGCATCCCAGCCCCCTTCCCTTCCCAGGATTTCTTCAGAGGGTTCCTGGGGCAGCCCTGACCCCTCTTCAGTCAGTTTTCAATAGAGAGGAAAGTAACTCCAGTAACGCCTCATCAGATCCTGCCATCACCTTGATACAAACCCTCTGGGCCTCCCATCTTACACAGAAGGCCTCACAATGCTCTGGAAGTTACTCAGCCCCTTTGTTTTCACTGCTGCTCTGGGGTGTCAGGCATAGCAGTCTCTCCAGCTTCCTCAGAGGCTCCATCCCCTCGAGCCTGCCGCTGCACTCCCATGCCAGGCTCTCTGCCTGCTGCTCCTGGCGAGGCCCTACCGGAGCCGCTCACCAGGCACTCTGAGACATGCCAGCCTGGAAGGAGCAGTTCCACCGGATGGAGCCACCCTCCACTGGAGGGGGACCAGAGAGGGCAGGAGTCGGCAAATAAACGTTCCCTTCTTTCATACTCAAGCAAAAGTCTGAGGCATATTCTTTTTTTTTTTTTTTTTTTTTTTTTTTTTTTTTTTTTTTTTTAGATAGAAGCCACATACCATAAAATTCACCCATTTAAAATGTACAGTTCTGCTTTAGCCAGGTTGGATCAGTGGATAGAGTGTCGGCCTGTGGACTGAAGGTTACTGAGTTCAGTTCTGGTCAAGGGCATATGGCCGGGTTGTGGGCTCAATCCTGTTGGGATGTGCAGGAGGCAACGGATCAATGATTCTCATCATTGATGTTTCTGTTTCTCTCTCTCTCTGCCCTTTTCCTTTCCTCTCTGAAATCAATAAAAATACATAAAAACTGAAATGTACAATTCAGTGGGTCTGTTTTTAGTATAGTCACAATGGCAAGGTAGTGTAATCATTACCACTAACTAGCTCTGGAATATTTTTATCTTCCCAAAGGAAATCCATACTCATTAGCAGTCCCTCCCATTCCCCTGTCCCCTGGCAACCACTAATCTACTTTCTTTGTCTCTGTGGGTTTGGCTATTCTGGACATTTCATGTACCAGTAAATGGGATTATACAATATGTGACCTTTAGTGTCTGGTGTCTTCACTTAGCTTAATGTTTTTAGGATTCATCATTTTGCAGCGTATGCCCCTGCTTTACTGCTTCTTATGACTAAACTCTTCCATTGTAAGGATATACTCCCGTTAGTCTGTCCATTCATCTGCTGGCAAACACTTGGGTTGTTTCTACTCTTGACCATTGTGATGAGTGCTGCTGTGCTAGGTTCTGTGTGGACCAGGTAGAACTGCCATGTCACATGATCATTGTTCTTCCTGTGGTCCTGAACACCGGTGTTCCCACCTTAATAGTGCTGCCTTGATTAGCCATCCCTCCCTTGCTGCTCATTCCTCCCAGGTCTCAATTTCTCGGTATTACATCCTGGATGCACTCCCTGCACAGGGGCCTTTTGTCTCTGGCTCTGCTTTCTGGGTATCTGGGCTAAGACATCCCTAATACTTCGTATCCCCCTTCCCTGCATTGTTAGTTCCCTTAGCATTTACAGCCATCTGATGTTTCCAGTTCATGTATATCTTTGTGGTGTTGGCCTCTTCCTACTGGGATGTCAGACCCACGAAGTCACAAAATTTTATTCTCTTGGTCATTGTGATTGAATTCTTTAGACCTAGTGTGTGATAACATTTCTGTAAACTCAGACATTTCTCTACTTCCTTTTTGTCCTCATACTTTAGGACTATGGTCCCAAAGTCAACTTTCGGAAACAAAAGCTCAAGACCGCTGGCTTCCAAGGCCTCCCCAGCTTCAGCCGGGAGATAGTGCGGAGAATGGGCCTCTACCCCATCCTGGAGGACTTCCAGCCCGTGGAGCAGTGTAACCTGGACTACTGCCCAGAACGGGGCTCAGCCATTGATCCCCATTTGGATGACACCTGGCTGTGGGGGGAGCGGCTAGTGAGCCTCAACCTCCTGTCCCCCACCGTGCTGTCCATGTCCCGGGAGGCGCCCGGCAGCCTACTGCTCTGCCTGGCCCCCTCCGGCTTCCCGGAAGCTTTGGAAGGTGTGATGGCCCCTAGCAGGTCCGTCCTGTGCCAGGAGGTGGAGGTGGCCGTCCCCTTGCCCCGCCGCTCTCTGCTTGTGCTCACCGGAGCCGCACGGCAGCAGTGGAAGCATGCCATCCACCGCAGACACGTCGAGGCCCGCCGCGTGTGTGCCACCTTCAGGGAGCTGTCAGCCGAATTCCGTCCTGGTGGGAGGCAGCAAGAACTTGGGCGGGAGCTTCTGCGAATCTCTCTCTCCTTTCAGGGGAGACCCATGTGAGCCGCCTTCCTGGGGACAGGAGCTGGCACTGGGCCTGGCCCAGGACTGAAGGGGAGCCCAGCACAAGGATCTTCCTTCCCGGCTCATTAGGCTTCAGAGAAGACTGCGGACACCCGACGCCATGGCAGCGCAAGCCCTGCCGGGAACTGGTTTCGATGGGGATGTGTCTCAGGTCAGTCCCCTTTGAGCTGCACTGTGGCCACTTGTTTGGGTTAATTTGTCACAGTTTGAGGGAAGAGGCATCATTTGAGTTTTAAAAACTTTGGAATCACTTAAAACCATTTTCTCCTTCATCCATTTGTCTCAGCGAGGTTTCCTGGTGCCCCTCCTTACAATCCCTCCATTTGGGTGGCATGCCAGATCACAGAGTGGAATTGGTAGAAGATCTGAGGCTATTAACCGAATGTCTAGTGACATTCAGATTTCAGAGCTGGTGATGGTTTGCTTGACCCAGACTTGGGGTGCAGGATGCAGCAAGGACAGGGAAATCTGAGAGATTTAGCCCACACATAGGAAAGCAGGAAAAGCTACCTAAATACAGGGGTGGGCTGGTGTCCAGCTGGACAGCAAGAATGCAGAGCCCTCCCTCGGCCTGGTGGCACTTGTAAGGAAGCTCCCAGGTTTTCCTCAGCCCAACCCACCTCCACCCCATGTAATGATGTTAAAAAGTAGGGGGAAGTTTTCTTCAATCCCAGGATAGAACAGGTGGCTCACTGGCTGGTGCTTGTGCTGTGTGCTCACCTGGATGGGTGGCTGCCCCTGTGGCCGGGCGTGCCGGCTGTGGAGGTGGAGGGAGATGGCAGTGTTCCCTGGGTCTGCACGGCTAGCCCTCTCCCCTGTTGCTTATGTGACAATAGACACAGCTCACCCAGCCACGTGCTGGGAGCCCGCCTTGAAGGACCAGTGCCCCCTCACAGCCTGGAAAGTTTCATGCTGGGCCCTGGTCTTCATGGTCACTCAGGAGCTTCTGAGAGCAGGAAGGATGGGGGGAGGCACTGGCCACCGCACTGCCCATGAAGTGGTGTCATAGCTGCTGGCTTGGACTGGAGAATGCTGTGAAGACCCAGTGGACAGGCTGTGTGGGCTCCTAGTGGCTACTGAGTGGGGTCGGTGAGCTTAGGTGCCTTACCTGCTGCTTCCTGGGTCAGCTCACTCAGTAGGAGGGTGAAGGACAGCTTCTTCCCAGGTCTGTAATCTCCATGCCAGCCCTTGCAGACCTAACACAGAGCACTTACTAGTAGGTACAAGTCCAGCTGGAACCGATCTTGCTGCATCTGAGCCGCCAAGCAGGCCTGCAGGCATGGTGGGCTGCTCCATGGCGCCCAGTGGGGAGCCTCTGCCCTGAGAGGCTGGGCCTTAGAGCATCCCCTGGATGGAGTCTGCCAGGTGCTCTGCCAATATAGGTGGGAATGGATGTTTGGGAAATGTTGCACTCCAAGACCTGTCAGGCAGAGATCTGTTAAGGCTGGGGAGTCCCTCAGTGGAGAAGCCTGTTTCTCCTGCAACCTCCTAATGCTTGTCAGGTGTTTAACATTTATCCCACAGAGCACATGTTAGGGAATGCTTCATCACGTAGTAAAGTCGGTGATTCGAGTTAAGTCTGTCCTTGAAGCTGCCATGTGAAGACCTTCAGGCCCCAGGTGCTCACTTTCTCACCTAAGCCACCGCCCACTGCCCATGGGGTTGGGCTGGGGCCTGGCCAGGCTGGGGTGCTTCCTCCAGAGCCGCTCCTGGGCACCACTGCACCTGCTGCCCCGTGTTTCTGAAGGGCTGAGCCCAGCAGCCACAGCCTGGGGCACAACGTCTGCTTCACCCCCATATTTTAGGGAGCTGTATTTTAGGGAGCTGTTCGTGCTTTCCTTCAGCACCAGATGCTTGTCTGTGCTAACGCTCTTACAGTCTCAGACTAGAAGGTAAGAGTCTGTGGGAAAATACTAACTTGGAAGCATCCAGTCCAAGGGGGGTGCCTACAGTGCCCTCTTCCAGAGTAAGTTGGGAGAGGCTACTGACATTCCTTAGCCTGCACTGCTGGGAAACTTGGTGCTGGTTCCTGTTCGCAGGGTCGGGTAGTGGGGCCCAGGTTGGTCCTAATGGGGCTGAGCTCAGTCTAGCGAGGACCCTCGGTTATTCTGCTGAGACTTGTGCAGAAACTGCCTGTACAAGTCTGCATGGTTTTTTTTGGTTTTTTTTTTTTTAATATATTTTATTGATTTTATACAGAGAGGAAGGGAGAGAGATAGTTAGAAACATCGATGAGAGAGTGTCATCGATCAGCTGCCTCTTGCACACCCCTACTGGGGATATGCCCGCAACCAAGGTACATGCCCTTGACCGGAATCGAACCCGGGACCCTTCAGTCCCCAAGCCGACGCTCTATCCATTGAGCCAAACCGGTCCCGGCCAAGTCTGCATGTTTTAAATGGGCCTCGAGTGCAATCTAGGCTCAGTCCTGTCTCACCTTACGCTGCTGGGCTCTGTCCAGGGCACTGTGGATGCTACCCCTCAACCTTCTGGAAGAATCTGAGTCAAGGATTGAATCTTCTCTCAGCAGATCAGCTGAACGGTAAGTGGGCCTGGCCACGGGCTTGCCAGGCTTGCTGGGGAAATGTCTAGTCAGTTTGCTGGCCCTGAGCTCTGTCCTGAGCCCAGGCCTTTGGTGCCTCAGGGACTGAGTGGTCCTGTCCTGGCAGAACTTGTCCATAGAGTGGTGTCATCTGCTTTGCACACCTAATTTCTAGGACTGTCTGGCTTAAACTACCAGAAAATTAATAGCAGACAGAAAATCTTTCCTAGAAGAGCATCTACCTCATTGGGCAACTATTACAAAACAGGAAATCTGGGAGCTTCCTTGCGAGTGCCACCTGCCACCAGGCCAAGGGAGGGCTCTGCGTTACTGCTGCCCAGTGGACACCTGCCTCGGCCCAGAGCCACAGGCTCCTGGGGTTGCAGGAAGCCCAGAGGGACCAGCACTGCAGTGGCTCTTCTGGAGGACTTCAGGCTGACCCTGTCCAGCTGGACAGCAATGATGCAGAGTTCCCAGGTTTTCCTCAAAGCCCAACCCACCCTGCCTCATGTAATGATGTTAAAAAGTAGGGGGAGTTCTCTTCAACTCCCAGGATAGCACAGGTGGCTCACTGGCTGGCGCTGGTGCTGGCTCAGTGGCTCTGCTGGCACTCGGCTGTACTTGGGGCTGCCCCTTGCAGTGTTTCTGGAAAGGGAGGAGAAACACCCAAGCCCCATGTCTGTCTATTCCAGAGAAGTCTCTGACCTGAGAAGCCTATTAGGACACTGGCCGGTGATCACCAAGGAGGCGGGGGGGGGGGGGGGGGGGGCTTAAGGAGTCAGGATGCAGCAGACGCCAGGGAAGGACCAGCAGCTGTCACAGCATTCCACACACAGCAGGGAGCAGTGTATAGCTTGTTTATTCAGTTCAATCCAGGGAAACTTTAAAAAAATCCATATCCAGGACTTGGTTTGTACACCGTACATGACCCACACAGTGTCATGCATAATGAACCAATGAGCACAAGACAGAGAAGGACTAGAGATGAACCCCGTCTGCGGCTTCTATGACTTTATCCTCCACAGACCTTCCTAGAAGACACTAAAATGTGTTCTGCCCCCAGTTTCTAAAATAGAAACACTTCCGTTTTGATACTTCTGGTCAGGTACTAAATGGAGACTGTGTTCCACTTTGGAACTGGCCTCAAGTATTTGCAGGCATTTGTTTTATGAGCACCAGGAAGGCTCTGCTCAGAGGGAAATGGGGCAAGCCCATGCTGGCCCCGGCGGCCCATGGCGCCTCACCAGGGAGAGGCCTGTCCTGGAACAGTCCACAATCTCCTTAAAACTCCAGGATCCCAATTTCTAGCCTGTAATTTGCCAGCCCCTCCCCTACACTGCCCTGCAGAGCGGTTCCTGCAGCTCCAATGAGCAGCTTATCCTCCATCTCCAGACAAGCTTCGCGGCTACCCTGAGGGTGTCCTTCCCCACCCCACCCATCACCAGTCCCCAGACTCACTGTGATCTCTGTTCCCACAGAGACTCTGCCTCAGTCTCTAGAAAGGCTGGAGCTGGGAAAGCACTCTGGATGAGAACAGGAAGTCATAGGAACGTTACCCTCCCACTGCTGTAACGTGGTACGTGGCACCTTTCCTGTACATGTGGCACTGTCACTGCACACCTCGTGTCTGACCTTGTTGTGGTCAGGCCAAAAGCTGTGCCCATAGGTCAGGCATAATGGGCCCCCGCTGGCACTGGGGGTGTGCTTTCTAGTCTGGGGAACATGGGACTCGGTGCACCTGGCACACTTGGGGCAGTGGTACCAAATGGCCCAGGAAAGTGGCAGCAGGAGTGAGCTCAGCACAACCCCGCAAAAGTCTCAGGCTAGTTTTGTCACTGCCAGGTCACTAAGTGGCTGTCTTGCAGTGATGCTGACATTCTTTTGCAAAGCAAACACATTAAACCAATTGAGCCTTTTCAACAAGGCTGTGGGAAAGAGGAAGCATGCACTAGAGAGCAAGCAAGTCCTGACGGATGTCTGCAGAAGGTACAAGGGACACGCCCTTTAGAGGACGCCAGGGCACTTCTCTGACCTGGAGGCACACCATGTCCAGGCTCCCGTAAGTGTCACCAGTCAGCATTTCAGAGTTGCAGGTTGAGGTTTTATGGTCTCACCAGGCCACCCAGATCCCACAGAGATATTAGGCTGTTGATAGAAATGCCATCAGAGCATGAAGTCCAATGAGGAAATGGCCTGCTTCTCCAGGCGGCTGCCAGCCAATGTGGTAAAGGTGGTTTTTAGAAGCAGAGTGGGGTAGAGCATGCTCACACGTAAGCTGAGCTGCAGCCTGTACGTGAACAGCCAAAGAACACGAGCTGGGGCAACCAGATCCCATGCTGCGCACGGCAGCAAACGCGCCGGCTGTGGCTGAGGCCGGGGGCCCAGGGGAAGCATATGTGGGGTTGTGCATTCTCTGCATTTGTTCCATCTCTTGAGCAAGACCCACGTTTGGCCAGGGCTGGCCCTTGATGCTACCACCCCTCAACCAGACCAGGCCAACAGCCTTGTCTAGACAGGAAGTCCCCCAAGCGCCCCTCTGCTGCCAGGCACCATGGGCAGCAGGGAGATGGGCAGGTTCTGCCACCTGAGCAAATGCCCCTGGCCTTCTGGGACCAGAGCCTGGAGGGTCAGGCTCAGAGGGCATTCTGTGGCCGAGAGATGTAGGCCTCTGCACTGCGGGCTCTTCCCAACCTGGTAGCCTTGCTGGGTCATTGTGGCCAGGGCTCTAGGCTGGCTGGGAAGAAAGAATGTGAGCCCAGTGTGCTTTGGAGTGCCCTTAGTTAACAGCCTCCTCGAGTATGCTGCCCCAGACATGCTTCCCCAACTCTGCCAGGCTCCACTCATGGAAGTCTCCCCGGGGCCCTGACAAGTCTGCCTCCTCCTGGAGTACCCATACCTGCTGGGCTGACATGTGCCCCAGGCTCCTGCCTTACCCTCAAGCCAGGCCACCCAACCCCCTGCAGAGCAGGGGAGGGAAGCACCAGGCCCAGCAGCAATCCTGTGCCCATCTAATTGCCACAATTCCCACCTAAGCACAGCAGGCTGGTACTATCAAATGTGCCACCCGGCTGCCAGGCAGTGCACCTGAAGAGTCATGGGCAAGCCTCTGACCTCCCAGCCCTCCCTACCCTGACTCTCTCTCAGGCCTCCGCCAGGCTCCCTGCCCTGCTGGCCACTCCTCCCACATCTCTGGGATGACCGCAGTGCTGGAGCTCTGCCTGAGTCCCCAGGGCCAACACTCAGCCTTCCTTTGCCCTAAGCGCTTAGCAACAGAAATCAGTCTCTCATTTAAGGATTTCCATTTTCTGAGGGGAAATGAGCCAGGTTTTACGGCATTAAGACAGGAGTAAAACTTTGGTGTTGAACTATCTGGCAGTGTCTAGGCAGCCTCGTGGCGATTCCCGTCTTTAAAATTCCCTCAAAAGCAGGCTGTTCCTGCTGGCTCCCGGCCCCGGGAGGCGTGCCCTTACACCACCTGCAGGCTGCGCTCGTGCCCATCCAGCTGCACCTTGAGCTTGTGCAGCTCCTCAATCTCGCGGTTGTGCCGCTCGGTCTTGTGGCGCACCAGCGAGCGGTAGAAGTGGATGGTGAAGACCACGAAGATGAGACCCACGGGCACCATGATGATGGTGGACACGAGGGCGGCCTGCCAGCCGGTGTGGCCTCCGGGGCCGGGTGCGGGGCCCGGCTGGTGGCGTGCATCCACGGGCAGGAATTTGATCCAGCAGAGCAGCACGACCTCGGCCAGGAAGAGCAGGATGCCGAGCACGGTGGAGAAGCCCCAGGCCAGCTCGATGTAGGGGTGCATGCGCTCGTGCGGCGACTCGCTGATGGAGTTGAGGTTGTGGATGTTGCTCACGGCCTCCACGTTGGGCAGGATGCAGGTGCTGATGAGCAGGGCGAAGAGGTGCACGGCCACCAGCACCGTGGTGCAGGCGCTGAAGGCGATGAGCAGGGGTGGGGGGTACTGATACTGCGTCTCCAGCTGCACCTCCACCATGGCCACCTGCAAGGCAGAGCGGATGCTGCTGGGCTGGGCAGGTACCTGCCAGGCCCTTGCAGAGCACAGGACACCCTCTTCGCTGCTCAGCTATTTTGAATTTGCCTTTTTTTTTTTATTAGCTAAAGAGGATCTCACTGAGAGAAAACCTAAAAGTACAGAAGAGACTAAAGAAGCACCATGTGGTGCAAGTCACCCTCCAGGTGCCTTCCCAGACATGGAATGTCCAGTGTATCTGAGGTGCCCAGCTGTGAGCCAGGGCAGAGGCCACACTTCCCTGGGAACATGGGGCTTTGCTATGCTATCAGAGCCAGTCTGCAGTGTGGCTTAGCTGAAAAAAAAACAAACAAAAACAAAAAAAAACACCCTGTTTTAAAAAATAAAAATGGACCTTTTAAAAGGTTTAAAACACACACACACACACACACACAGAGGTTCCAGATGGTGCCCAGACTCAGAGCTGCAAACCCAGCCAGCCTCACACAGACCACAGGGTGCATCTCTCAGCTGGCACCAAAAGCCAGAGAGAAACTGCATGTATATCTACCGGCCAGGACAGGAAGGCCATGCGAGGAGGGGCAGCTGTGGGAAGGAGGGTGGGCTGGGGAGAGTGAGCTATCATCTAGTCACAGGATGCCAATGGGTAACGTCCAAATGGACAAAGAACAGCAGCCTCCAAATGCCATTTGGAACCGTGAGGACAGAAAGCTGCAGGAGGCGGCCTCGGAGCGGAGAATACGGCGGGTCTGCTGGGATTGTAAGTGACAGTACAGCTGCCCTTGAGCAGCATGGGAGTGCTGGGCGCACCCACCATGTGTCTTGTGCATTCAAACCCATGTTCAAGGGTCAACTGTATTTAATTTCTAAACTCTATACATGTAATAAATGATAAAAATTATTTTTTAAATGAAAGGGGAAAAAACAGACACAGGGAATCAGAAGAAGCCCAGCTTATCTCTGTAGCACTGATGATTATAGCTACTTAGGTAGTATAGTGGTTGGCAAACTTTGGCCCCTTGAGTGTGGCTCTTCCACAAAATACCACGGCCTGAAAGAGTCTATTTTGAAGAAGTGGCATTAAAAGAAGTTTAAGTTTAAAAAATTTGGCTCTCAAAAAAGAAATTTCAATCATTGTACTGTTGATGTTTGGCTCTGTTGACTAATGAGTTTGCCGTCCACTGAGGTAGTACATGCTCACCTCAGCCCCTATGTGGCTTTCAAACTACAGACTGAGCAACACTCCTGCCTCTGCCAGGTCAGACCCCATCCTTTCAGAATAGCTCCCTCCGAGGCTCAGCACCCTAACACCCCACTCCCAGCACTCAGCATGTGGACCTCCCCAGGGGAGGTTTTAGTCCAGGGCCAGAAAGGGCTCTGGGACTCACCAAGGGCCTTCTCCCAGGTACCTGAAAGTAAGATATCAAACCAAAAAGGGGTGGGGTGGGGCAATAAGAGAAGCCAGAGGGAGATTTTTCCACCCACTGTTTTTGCCTCCTAGATCTGAGTCATCCCTGTTTTTAAAAATTAACAAGAGCCCAGCTGGTATGGCTCAGTGGTTGAGCATCGACCTATGAATCAGGGGGTCACAATTCAATTCTCAGTCAGGACCCATACCTGACTGGGCTGGGTTATGGGCTCAATCCCCAATAGGTGTTCAAGCAGCAGCCGATCAATGATTCTCATCTTTGATGTTTCTATCTTTCCCTCTCCCTCCCTGAAATAAATAAAATATGTTAAATTAACAAGAAGGATGTCACAACTTCTAGAAACTACCACCTCTTAGAGTGAGCACTTCATCTTTGCAGTGGAGATGGAACATTTGGTAGTTAAAAAGAAGATACAGCAGTCCCAGTGGACCATACCTGAACAGGAACCCAGCAATAAATATTGCTCCAAAAAGATAGTAGCCCATGGCAGAAGTTGAAGGGTGTCTTTTCTCAGTGCCCCTGTGGCCTGGGTAGGCTCTGGCCCAACAAAAGGATGTAAACCACAGAGGGCAGCGAGATAAGCAACAAAGGCCTACAAGGAAGCAGTTGCATTCTGCCTCAAGAGGAGAAAAAGCCAAAAGGCCATTTTTCATTTTGTTTATGCAAAGAGGTTTCAGATCACTGGTTCTCTGTGTTAGAATAAACATGAAGAAATAAGCTTAAGGTTGGGCGTAAGTACTTATTGTTTTGCAATTCTAATTAGGGAATACACAGTATAAAGAGGGGATTCCACCTAGCACACTGCCTGTTTTCATTGTCCATGTCCCTGCCCTTATTTGGCCATGCCAGCATGCTATCTGAGGATCTGTATTGGTCACTTCTTTCTCCCAAGCTGCACCGCAGTCTGAACAGCTATCTGATTTACTGGCCTTTAATCTGCTCTGGACTTGGCTCCATGCTGTGTCACTGCTATGGCGGAATCTCAGTGCATGTTAGGTGGGGCAGCCTCCCTGAGGAGGATTTTCTAAAAGAGAAGGCAAGGGCACTGTGTGGCTTCTAAAATGTATCCCCAAGCTGCTTAACGAAGCACTTGCTGGCGCACAGAAGATACTCCAGAAACGCGGAAGAATGAATTACTGCTGGGAAGCATGACCGCCGCTGCCAAGCAGTGAGAGCACTCTGGGCCTGAGACCGCTGCGTACCTTTGAAGACTGCCAGTGCATCTCAGACTCCTCCTCCAGAAGCCACTCTGTTTGATAACTTATTCAAGGGCTAGTTTCAAGTTCTGAATGAGTGGTTTAACTTGGATGAGCATTTTGTTGGCTGGAAAACAGGATGAGCCCTATGTTTGGAAATCCAAATGTTTGGAAGGCCAGGGTCTAAAAAGACAGCGGCAGACAGGAAGTAATTTCCCACACCCAAGCCCCGCACAGAAAGGAAACTCACTCTCTGCATTATGTCGTGCAATACTTCCCAGAGTTCATTTACCAAAGTTAAATAAGTATAGGTGAGCAAAATGTAATGCAATACTGTACTTCTTCTGTGGTACAACAACAAAAAAATAAGTTCTAATTTTAATAGTGATGTTTAAACTTCTCACACACATTCTTTAAAATTAAGCTTGAGAAAATTCCATCTTTATATATATATATATATATATATATATATATATATATATATATATATATATTTAAATTGAATTCAGAGAAAGGAAGAGGGAGGGACAGAAACATTAATAATGAGCCCTACCTGGTTTGGTTCAGTGGCTAGAGTGTCGACCTGTGGACTGAAAGGTCCTGGGTTTGATTCCAGTCAAGGGCACATGCCCGGGTTGCAAGGCTCAGTCCCCAGTATGGGGCATACAGGAGTCAGTTGATCAATGATTCTCCCTCATCATTGATGTTTCTGTCTCTCTCCCCCTCTCCCATCCTCTCTGAAATCAATAAATATATATATATTAAAAAAAAAATGAGAGAAGCGATGATCGGTTGCCTCCTGCACTCCCCCTACGGGGATCGTGCCCTGACCTGATAGTGCCGTAACCTGGTTCATGGGTCAAGGCTCAATCACGTAGCTACAGTGGCTGGGCAAAATTTGTCTTTTTAATGCGATGGAAACCACAGAAAGAAAATCACTCTGAGCCAAAGTTGTGCACCATGTAATTGCACACTTTTGTAATCATGCTTAAGAAAACAAAAACACAAGACCTAAAGAAGCCTTTGCTTTAAAGTAGACCTGAACCCAAATTTACTGCCTCTCGGTTTGGTGACCTCTGCCTCACCCTGTATGAAGCCATGCCCTGACTGTGGAGGGTGTCATTTTTCCAAAGGTGGCCCTGCTGATGACCAAGCATGCCCTCATCAGAGGAATGACCACAGTGGCTCACTCTGACAGCTTTTTATTTCCTGCACTACCAATTTGACAAATGAGGCTCTGGACTACAGAGAGAAAAGAACTGTCTTTACATAAAAAATAAACCCCCTGCTTCCGGCCCAATAGGACCTCTGAACATGCACCAGAGAGGCTGCCACAGCCCCGTAGTCTGACTCCTGACACCTGCATCCTCAGGACAGTTCCCTAAAGGGGTGTGGGTTGAGGCTTTGGAGTCAACAGGGCCCTCAGTTTTGCCTGAGATGGACTCTTGTCCTGGCTTGTCTTGGGGATGACTCAGAAGGAAAGGCACAGGTGGGCAGCTGGGAGTGAGGCCAGAGGCTCTGATCAGTCACCCCGGAGGCACACTGCATAAACCCAGACCAGGCCACAGTTCCTGCCCGAGTCCTTGAGGTTTCCAGACTCTTGGGTGGTCCCTGAGATGGGCAGATGTGTGGGTACTTTTCTCCAGGAAATCTGTATTCTAAAGCTATTTTAATTACCACCCTAACTTCCTTGCCAGGCAAATACTATGTGAATGTGAGGGTGGCTCTTTCTGTGGCTGAGGCTTGGGAACTCGCCTGTGTGCCCCAGAGCCCCTCTGGTTGACAGAGCAGTCAGTCACCTTGGAGGAGATGGGATGTGGGGAAACTTCCTAATGGTCCACCCTGGCTGCCAGTAGGGCCCATGGGAGTGCCAGAGCCCATTTTGCAAGCTACGTTCCCATCACGTGTTTGCACTCACCATGGCAAAGCCTGAGAGGAGAGCAGAGGTGCGGCTGGAGGCTTTCAGCTTGGCCCGGCTCAGGTAGAGCTTCCTCCAGGAGAGGGCCTGCACGGAGTGGTGGTTGGAGGTGACCAGTTCCAGGTAGCTGCGGCGGACCCAGTCCCGGTAATCCATGCCCTTGTGGCCAGGCTCAGGGCAGGCGGGGGTGGAGGGGTCCACAGGCACATTGAGCTCAGCACTCATCATGGGAGCCAGGCTGGGGGCAAAAGAGACACACACTCAGGAATCCCAAAGGGTTCCTGGGGCCTAGAACCCCCAGTTTGTCTTCTCTGGGGCCCCTGTACACACACTGCACTAGGGCCATGGGGGCCAGTGGGGGCCCTGGTCTCTGATGCAGTCCCCACAGGTGGACCGTTTATAGGAGAGGAGGTTCAGGAGTGCATTTCCAAGAGCCACGACAGTGTTCAACATTGTTCCCGCCATCCCGAGCTCAGAAGGGTTCCAGCTGAGTGTGGCTCTGGGTGAATAGAATTCCAAGGTTGACCAAGAGCACCTAACAATGTCCTCCAAGTTGCACCAATCTTTAGGGAGTAAGGAGCTGTAGCATTTAGAAAGATCCTTGGACCTCAAGTTACCAAGTCTGGATTTGACCCAACTGTGTGATGTTGAACATAACACCTGACCTTGCTGACTATCATCTTCAAATGATGTCCCCACCCTACAGGGCTCTTGACAAGATACAGGACCTGTAGACTCAACTGCTTTTCAATGTCCAGGTGTCAACGTGAACTACACTTTTCCAAGTAGCTGCTATAAATCCAACTTAAATTTTCTTTTTCTTTTTTTATAAACCCTCCTGCGGGGGGCTGACTTTCAATAGATCAAAGCGAAGGAGCTGCTCTGCTATACACAGAACCCATCCAGAGCAGGTCAGGAACGACATCAACGTGCATTGCATGCTGGGCAAGAAGGCAGCCCCCTTTCTGGCTGAGCCCTGTGCCCCATTTCACCCGAGGAGGGGCGCTCCCCACAGGACCCCATCCCACAGCAGCCAGCTGGGTGCCCATGTGGCTGCTGGGGACCAGCTGTGGGAGGGCAACGGAGGCTGGAGGAGCTGCCTAGCATTCTGCCTGGGATTCAGAGAGGTTAGTCAATCCCACAGATGGCTCACTGGCTCCTTCGCAAGCCCATACTCCAAATGTCCAAACTGGCAGTTCCAACTTAATGTTAATCAGCACGGTTCGCCCAAAAATACTTGGTTTATTTATCTGAAGTACAGACACATCCAGGCTGCAATGGAAACATTTAACAAAACGAAAAATTAAACCCAACTGAATGTATATATATAAAAAGCCAGCGACAGTAACACCATAACAACCAGTTACTATGACGCCCACTGTGGCCAGCGAACCAGCCAATGAGATACATATGTCTCTTTTTCCCCATTGACCCAAGTGCTCTCTATACGGTTTGCTGAGGCTGATCCATGGCCAGCATTGCAGCTTTACTTATTCTTCTGCTCACACCCGCTTTTTCCCATTCTTCCCAGTTACTGTTCTCAAAAATGTCCTTTAATAAGTACTGCCCACTATCGGACCCTTCCAGGGTGGGGCTGGCAGGCCAAACACCCAACCAACTACCCCTGGCCGCCCCACTCCTGATCGCAGCCCTCACCTGAACAGGGGGCAGGGCTGGCCACCCAACCCCCTGCAGCCCTGCCCCTGATAGGCCCCCACCACCTGATCAGCCTGCAGCCCCTCCCCCTGCCTGGCCCACGCCTGATCGCCACCTCCCCAATAGGGAGATGGTCACCCTGCCAACTTCATGCAGCCTCTCCCCTTGCCTGGCCCCACCCCAGATAGGCCCCCTCACCTGATCAGGGGCAGGGCCCTGCCAGCCAGCCACCCATGGCCCCTCCCTATGGCTGGCCACGCCCCGAATTGGTCCCTCAACCCCAATCAGGGATGGCCCCTCTACCCACCCAGCCTGGCCCTGATTGGCCCCAATCAGGGCAGGCCGGCTGGCCAACCTCCCGCCATCTCCTCCTCCGGACAGGTCCAGCCCAATCCACCGAGATTGGGGCCAGGCGGCCAGACCCACCTGTGCAAGAATTTGTGCACTGGGCCTCTAGGGTTTTATAAAGACACTAGAGGTCTAGTGCACGAACTGGTGCACAGGTGGGGCTCCTGCCCCATGGTGGAGCTCCCAGTTGAACTCCTGTCGAACTCCCAATTTGCATCTTATTATTATATAGGATGGAAAATGGAGACAGATCCCTGGAGTTAACCCAGGAAGAAATCTGGTGTGGCAATTACACAGAATGAAGATCAGGAGGACTGATCTGTCAAGATCTGTGAATTTAAACCCAAATCTCCACTAATCCAAATGGGGATTGGTGGTCTCCTGTGGTCCAAGGGGCTGGCCGCTTGGCAGCATGCTGGGATCAGCTCTAATTAATCTGCAGGGAAAGTTTCAAGGGCACAGGCACCTCACAGCTCAGTGAGCATCAGATATTAACGTGGGCATTTAGGCCCTGATAGGCCTCATGAAAAGCTTTCGTAAGGCGATTAGAAACAGATAAGGGTTTCTGGATCCCAGGGAGCATGGCTGGGGATGGGGGTGGGGGAGTCAGGGGTGTTTACCAAATGTCAGCATCTGAGAAAATGCCCCACACCTGATCCATGCCAATCTCCAAAAGGGTTCCGTGGGAAGGCCCAGGAAGTTGGACGAGCACTGTTTGGGGTGCCTTCCTCTTTGCTCACTGCCAGGCTGTGGAGACCACCTTTTACTGGCCAATAGGACCCTGGGGAACGGTTCTGTGCTCTTCTATTCCTGCCAGAGATGCCAATACTAGGAATGCCTACCTGGAAGCATTGAGGCCCCCTTGCCCGCGTCTGCAGCCAGGAGCGCTACTTTCAAGTACTTTAGTAACTGGAAGGTCCCTTCCCTTGGGGGGGAGTTCAGAGGACGCAGCTTACGAACCAGTCCCTTGGCTAGCTCCAAACGATTTAGGATGGCATCATCTGGAAATGCACTTTTCCTTCCATTTTCCACATGTAACGGAAGGGATAAAGACAGTGTGCTGTATGTGGAGGGGCAGAAAGCACAACCTTTGCCCCCCTCCGAGTATCAGTCTCTCCATCCAACATCCTGCATCACAGAGATGTTTACTGGGCCCTAAAGTAAGACAGCACTTGGCATTTAGGCATCAGAGATGAAAAAGGCAAGAACCCTGTGAGTTCCTGTGTCCAGATGGGAACAAGATAAGGGGTGATTCTCAGTGGATGAGCTAAATGCTTTTTTAATATATTTTTATTGATTTTTTTTACAGAGAGGAAGGGAGAGAGATAGAGAGCTAGAAACGTCCATGAGAGAGAAACATCGACCAGCTGCCTCTTGCACACCCCCTACCGGGGATGCGCCCGCAACCAATGTACATGCCCTTGACCGGAATCCAACCTGGGACCTTTCAGTCCACAGACCGACACTCTACCACTGAGCCAAACCGGTTTCAGCAAGCTAAATGCTTTAGTGGAGGGGGTGAGAGGGCCTAGGAAGCAGAGGAGGTGCTGGCTGCCTCAGTTTTGGGCAGGGATGAGGACATAGGTAGTGAAGGCAATGTTGGCAAAGAGGGACTCTCCCTCAAAGACAAAATGCTACCCACATGCGAGGGCTCTGAGAGGCAGGGAACATGGCAGGAAGATGGCTGCAGAGTGGGGGCAGGGGTGTGTGTGTCAAGGAAATGGGGGAGGGGCAGGATGCAGGGAGTACTGGAGCTCAGGGCAGCGCAGGCAGTGTGACTGCTGGGCTTTCTCTGGCAGGGCACAGTATGGCTCACGGAAGAAGCCAATAAGAGAAACAATCTGGAATCAGCCTGATCTGTGTGCCAAATGAAATGGCAGGAGGGCCTGGCAACCTCCAAAAACACAGAGGTAAGTACGGGATGAAGAAGAGGGAAGTGCTGGGGCCATCCGTGAGCAGGGGCTGGGCTCCAGTTCCAGAGTGGAGGTGGTGGCCTCCTGGGAGCGCTCAGTCCCAGCAGCCCTGGGACCACCCTCCGAGAGGCAGGGGTGGGAAGGAAGGGCTGTCTGCTGGGAGCCTGGGTCCTGAAGATAGAGAAGCCACTTCCTGCAAAGGGAGCAGCCAGACCTGATTCAAATCCACCCGATCCCTGCCAGCCCCACTGTCCTCCTTACACCAGGGGTCCCCTGCCCGCCCCCGGGGAGGTGGTGGAGAGACAGAGTTTGGTCCTCACACTCAACTGGGGCAGGGGGTAAGGAGGAGCAAGCTGGAGCCTGACGTTTCAGTCAGGTGTCAGGGGCTCCAAAGGATGCTCTTCTGGTGGAACCTGGGTTTTTATTTCTTTATAAGGGAAGTCAGAAAAGGAGGTTTGGTACATTAACTGGGTCTCTCTCTACATTAGCTACCCTCCTTGGCAGGCCTGTTTGAAACACACCCAGGGGGTGGGTTTGGGGTTTGCCCATCTTAACTTCCTTTCAGCACCTGGGGCGTGAGCAATGATGAGTGAGCGCAGTCACATCTGTTTCTCATTCTCTCTGTCTTTGTCACACCTGTGGGGGACGGAGGCCCAGCAGTGCCCACAGGGTCTCCCAGAAGAGTCCATCTGCATCTCCGTCCTGCCCCCAGGGAACCCCCAGACGCCGCCAGACCGGACTCGGCCCGCGCCCCCGACTTCTCTGTCCTTTCGGCGCCGCAACCCGCCCGGGGACACGCGGCGTTAGGGTCACCTGGCCGCCACCCACCCCATGGCGAGCCCGCCCAGGGGAGAGCCCGTCCCTCCGCGGGTGCGATCCGGCCCCGCGGACGGGCGAGGACCCGGCTGCCTCCTCCAGACCCCCAGCGACGCGCACTCACCGCGCTGCTCTGCCCGTCCTGCCCGGCGCGGCTCCGGCTCAGCCCCGTGGCCCCGTGGCCCGGCAGGGCGCAGAGCGCGGCCCCCGCCTCCTTCCGCCGGTCCCGCGGGGTCCCCTCCGCCCCGCCCCGCCCCGCCCCGCCCCGCTCGCCCCGCCGGCTGTCCCGCCCCCGCCGGCCGCCGCAGCGGCTGCCCGGCAACGGCGCGCTGGCGTCACGTGACCCGCCCCCGGGGGAGCGGCGGGCCACGTGACCCTGTGGCCCCGGAGGGGCGGGGCTCGTGGCCCCTCCTGGGGGGTCCCAGGGAGCGCCGCCGGCTCTCCGTTCCCGCCCAGGCCCGAATTCCCTCAGCCGGAGCGCATCTCCCTGGTCCC